AATACGTACGTGCTATGTACATAATAGAATTCAGAGAATCGGCGCCGTGGCTCACATAGGGCTACCGCAGTGGGTCCAGTTTGTTCCAAATTTGGATTTTTAGAGGAAAGTACTAACTTCGTGTGGAGAACGTAGTAGGCTGTAACTTACTGGTGACTACCTAGAATTGGCGCAACGCGACACTGCTGGCACCATGAGTCGAGAAGACCTGGGTCCTCTCCAGCGCGAGAAGGCCGAAAGGTTCCTGGGCAACGCTCGGGTCTCAGTGAACTATATATCGTTTACAAATGAGAATATTCTTTCTCAGGGAGAAAAAAAATGGGTTACGGAACTAGTGAAAGTTGTGAGCCAGGCACAAGACAAACATGAAGAGCCAGATCACAAAACTCGGGTTCTTATCCCCAGAGAGAAGTACCCCGAAGGGTCTGATGGGAATGTCCCTAATCTCAAAGTAAGTTTGGAAGGTCTTTACGGACGATACTGGGTCGCAGCATGTAAGATGGTAAATAGCAGGAGCGATGTACAATGGGAAGTTGAAGTGTACTCAGACGGTTTGTTTCCTATTTCTGCAGTTAGATATTCATGTGCTAATTTTCAATTGAACATAGACATGTCTGAAGGACTGAAAAAGTATCTAGGCACGGAATATGTGCCAAACCATGCTGCCAACATCCTCTGGGAAATTTATAAAATTAAAGACTCTGACGGAAGCGAGACAAGCATAGGTCTACTATTGAAGCAGCTGAATCCTAGTTATGTAACTCGCATCCGAAGTCTAGTGTACAGTAAAAATCAGAAGTATCGTGAATTCAGTAACGCACTTCGTGATGTGCTTAAAATGCCGGGCCAACGGTATGCATTCTCAGCTGCTCAGGTTAAATATTTCCAATCCTCCCATTGCTACGAGGAACTCGCGTATAGATTGAAGTTCACTTCAGAGTTCTATATATGGCTACTTTGCGATCTAAATACTACAGAGAAAGATGTACTACAGAAAGTCGATGAAAAAACTGTTCGTGAGCTTGATGGCCTGGTTCCTAAGCTGGAAAAAAGAAGAGAGATTTCAGAAAAATTGGAAAATGGAGAGATTTTTTCCGAATTTACTCGCGAGCAAAGAAATGCGGTGAAAAGCAAACTATTGAACTTTGACGGGATGATTCCGACTCTAGAGGGGTTTCGTCGAGATTTTGAAGTCTTGAAAGATTGTTCTACTTACATCAAGGAACTTTGTTTGGGCAAGGTAACAGGTGACGAAACTATCCGTTCAAGCATGAAGAAAATACATCGCAGCAATCAGAACGCCGGATCAACCTACTCTACGACAGAGGAATCTCCCTCAATGAGTTTTGATTTGGCATACCAGCAAATCTGGTTACACGTTATGCGGAGTCTCAAGGGGAAAAATTCGAAGCTGACCGCGATCAGTCAACGACGACTAGGAGAGCTCGCTCATTACCTACAGTTCAGTTCAGAAACGATAGATAAGACACGAGGCCTGGATGGGCTTCGCACGGATGTGAGCACCTTCATTTCCACATGCAATCCCAAACGAGAGTACATATACGACCTGAATCTTGAGAGCGACTTAGTTGAGAAGCTAAGGGAATACAAGCCTGAGCGAGTGCCTCTTGATCACGCTCTTGTAAAAGTGGGGAGCACAAGATATGGATGGATAGAAGACTGTATATCAGATAATTCTGAGAGCGTGGAAAACTGCGATAGACATAATCTATACATTGAGCAAATGTATAAAGACAAAATGGATAGTATAGTAACTACCCTCTTCGCGAGGCAGTGCATGTTTTTCTCATTCTTCGGGTTACTGAAGTATAGGCACTCCACGTGGGACTCGCTGGATGCTGAGAATGAGGGACGAGGAGAAAAGCTTAAAATGTCACATCTGCTACGAGATCCTGCTATATCACAAGAGCGGCTAGAAGACATTGAAGACATAGAAGATAGGTCAGTCAGTAGAAACGTGGGTGAACAAGACGAGCAGTTTGCCACTCCCGGAAACAATCAAGATGGAGATGCAACTGGTCAAGACAACCAAAAGGTTATTGGCCTCAATGAGAATGATGACAGCGCATATGAGACTGCACAGGAAGCATCCGATCAGGATAACCACGACGCTATTGAAAATCACGAAAAAGAAGAAAACGTCATAGAGGAAGTATGCGATCGAGACAGTGACCAAGAGTATACCGGATTCAACGACGGAAATGACACAGATAACGCATCCATTGATGAATACATTGAAGCAACACCAACATATAGTAGTAATAGAGCTCACTACTCTGATGATGACTCTATAACTCCAACACAGAAAGCATCCGACGAAGACGACAAAGAATTATTTATTCATTTTGAAGCCAAGAGACAAGAACTATATTTAGAAACGCGTCGCGAACACGGAAAGCATCACGAAGATGGTTTTGCTTTCGCTCAAGAATGCAGGCAGATTTTAGAATCGAATCTTCAGGGTAAAATACCAAGAAAGAAGGAATTGAAGATCCGCCGAGATCTACACAGAGCGATGGATTTTTTATTGCTTGGTATAGACAGGTTGTCTACGAAATGGCTGCTGTCTCAGGATGTTAACGACGCAAAAACATCTGTACAATCACTCACTGAAAGTGTTAAGACTGAAAGAAGAATGATGCAGACACAATTCAATGCAGCATTGGAAATTGCGACTGCGGAACAGAATCAAATCTACGAGGGCGAAATTCAAGAGCTTCGCGAAATGGTCATTGTAATGAAAAATAGGGCTCTGCAAGATGAGCAAGTCTCAAACGCCTATAAGGAACTGGAACAGCGCAACCAAGAAATAGAAAGTCTAATTAGAGATGTTCAGAAATCTCTTAGTTTTCTAACCTTGAAAGAGAGTAATCACGGAATTGAGCCACAATATAATGATGAGAATGGAAAGATCTCTGAATCTTTGAGGTTGGATATTGAAGAACGAAATGAAGCTATCAGTGACTTGCAGGAGCAGCTTAGAGACAAGGACGGTGTAATTCAAAGGTTTGAGCGAACAACAATTAGGCTGCTGCTGAAGCTAACTTAGACAGTATGGAAATCGAAACTGAGAAGTTGAGAGAGCGTGGGCAACAGTGCAGCACAGAATATGACGTTATAACAAAAGAATACAAGAATTTAGAGAAGGAAAGGAACAAAGTGGTGGAAGAGAAGAAACAATTGGAGAAAGAAATAAAGTCTTACAAGGAGCAATTACAAAGCAAGAAAGAAATAATTGACCAATTGACATTTGAAGCCATGGAACTACAGGAATTGGCTGGCGACCGTGCGATTCAAACTGGGAGAGAAATAAACTTCGCTTCTGATCCAGAGGACGATAAAATCTTGTACGGAGCATGGCCGCCCCAGGGAGAGTTGAACTTAAAAAAGAACGAATGTGTGCCCCAGGGTAATGCAGCGGTGATGAAGGGAGCAGGAGAAAAAGAAGAGACGCAGCCAAGGATTCGTATAAAACGCAGATATAAGAATGAGAACGACATGGGACCCGCAGTAAAACTACATGACCAAAATTTAACGTCTAGAAAGCACCGCAGCCGTTCAGGGTCTTCGGGAATTATACACAATAATTACCGTAAACGGAACCCAAAAGGTGAACGATATAGCCTACGGTTACAATATCGCAAGGTGAACGGTGCAAATAGAGGTGCCAATTCTAGACATGGCCAACTAGTCCTAAACACATCTCCTATAAATGTCGAGTCCGTGGAGAGTCAAATGGACCTATCCGACACAGATACAGCAGGCTCGGGCAATCAGAGCACGGCCCAAATAAGTGAATCTAAGAAGAGCGAAAGATCAGTGGAACAATTAAAAGACCAAAGCGCATGTGATATTGTTCAAAGTGGCAACATGGCAATAGTGCCGAAACTGAAGGGAGTAAGAATACCGAGGGCCACCACACGAATTGAGGCTACAGAGAGTCAATTGGACCGTGTGACTACACCTTCCGCACATGATGGGGCTACAAAGAGTCAAGAAAGCTCGCCGAGCGTATTTGCCGCATATGGAGAGGCTACAGAGGATCATAAAAGCCCACCAAGCACATCTGCTGTAACTGTCGCAGCTACAGAAGATCAAGGGAGATCACCAAGCACATCTTCTGTAGCTATTGCTGCTACAGACGATCAGGGGAGCTCACCAAGCACATCTTCTGCAGCTGTTGACGCTACAGGCGATCAAGGGAGCTCCTTGAGTACATCTTCTGTAACTTTCGCAGCCACAGAAGATCAAGGGAGCTTACTGAGCACATCTTCTGTAACTTTCACAGCTACAGAAGATCGAGGGAGCTCACTGAGCATATCTCCTGCAGCTATCGCCACTACAGGCGATCAAGGGAGCTCACTGAGCACATCTTCTGTAACTTTCGCAGCCACAGAAGATCAAGGGAGCTTACTGAGCACATCTTCTGTAACTTTCACAGCTACAGAAGATCGAGGGAGCTCACTGAGCATATCTCCTGCAGCTATCGCCGCTACAGACAATCAGGGGAGCTCACCGAGCACACCTTCTGCAGCTATCGCCACTACAGATGATCAAGGGAGCTCACCAAGCACATCTTCTGCAGCTATCGCCACTACAGGCGATCAAGGGAGCTCACTGAGCACATCTTCTGTAACTTTCGCGACCACAGATGGTCAAGGGAGCTTATCGAGTGCATCTCCTGCAACTGTCGCAGCTACAGACGATCAAGGGAACTCCTTGAGCACATCTTCTGCAACTGTCGCAACCACAGATGGTCAAGAAAGCTTATCGAGTACATCTGCCACAAATATTGAGGCTATAGCTACTGAACTACGGCAGTTAAGTAGTCATAAAGGTAGCAAGATTGAGGTTAACAGGACTAGCTGGAATAACCATAGCTTATCATCAAGGGATTATAGCGTAAAGGATAGATATAAAGCTATACCTAGAACTGCCCGAAACCCTAAGATGTTGCACCCAAGACAAAATCATCATCTATATTTGAAGGCTCTTCAAGACGGACACAATCGTTACCGCAAACTGGGCTTACAAGGAAAAAGGAATAGTCAATCATTGCGCTTTGAGAGTGTAAATAATAGCCAGACAGATACAAAAGATATATCTCAACAAGCAGAGATATCCGTTTTATATCCTCCCGAAGCCAGTGTTATAGATCAAACTGGCCAATCTATCACATCGCCAGCAACTGTCCCGGCCCCAGAGGATCAAGGGAGCTTACTGAGCACACCTTCTGCAACTATCGCGGCTACAGACGATCGAGGGAGCTCACCAAGCACATCTTCTGCAGCTATTGACGCTACAGGCGATCAAGGGAGATCACTGAGCACATCTCCTACAGCTATCACCGCTACAGACAATCAGGGGAGCTCACTGAGCACATCTTCTGTAACTTTCGCGGCTACAGATGATAAAGGAAGCTTATCAAGTACATCTTCTGCAGATATCGCCGCTACAGACGATCAAGGGAGCTCACTGAGCATATCTCCTGCAGCTATCGCCGCTACAGATGATCAAGGAAGCTTATCAAGTACATCTTCTGCAGCTATCGCCACTACAGGCGATCAAGGGAGCTCACCGAGCACACCTTCTGCAGCTATCGCCACTACAGATGATCAAGGGAGCTCACTGAGCACACCTTCTGCAGCTATCGCCGCTACAGACGATCAAGGGAGCTTACTGATCACATCTTCTGTAACTCTCGCGGCTACAGATGATAAAGGAAGCTTATCAAGTACATCTTCTGCAGCTATCGCCGCTACAGACGATCAAGGGAGCTCACTGAGCACACCTTTTGCAGCTATCGCCACTACAGATGATCAAGGGAGCTTACTGAGCACATCTTCTGTAACTTTCACAGCTACAGAAGATCGAGGGAGCTCACCGAGCATATCTCCTGCAGCTATCGCCGCTACAGACAATCAGGGGAGCTCACCGAGCACACCTTCTGCAGCTATCGCCACTACAGATGATCAAGGGAGCTCACCGAGCACATCTTCTGCAGCTATCGCCACTACAGGCGATCAAGGGAGCTCACCGAGCACACCTTCTGCAGCTATCGCCACTACAGATGATAAAGGAAGCTTATCAAGTACATCTTCTGCAGCTATCGCCACTACAGGCGATCAAGGGAGCTTACTGATCACATCTTCTGTAACTCTCGCGGCTACAGATGATAAAGGAAGCTTATCAAGTACATCTTCTGCAGCTATCGCCGCTACAGACGATCAAGGGAGCTCACTGAGCATATCTCCTGCAGCTATCGCCGCTACAGACGATCAGGTGAACTCACCGAACACATCTTCTGCAGCTGTTGACGCTACAGGCAATCAAGGGAGCTCACCAAGCACATCTTCTGTAACTTTCACAGTTATAGACGATCGGGGGAGCTCACTGAGCTCATCTTCTGCAACTGTCGCGACCACAGATGGTGAACAAAGCTTATCAAGTACATCTGCCACAAATATTGAGGCTATAGCTACTGAACTACGGCAGTTAAGTAGTCATAAAGGTAGCAAGATTATGGTTAACAAGACTAGCTGGAATAACCATAGCTTATCATCAAGGGATTATAGGGTAAAGAAGAGACATAAAGCTATATCTAGAACTGCCCGAAACCCTAAGATTTTACACTCAAGACAGAATCATCGTCTACGTTTAAAGGCTCTTCGAGACAGACACAATCGTTACCGGAAACTGGGCTTACAAGGAAAAAGAAATAGCCAACTATTACAGTCTAAGAGTATCAATGATAGCCGGATAAATACGAAAGATATACCTCAACAAGCAGAAATATCCATTATATATCCTCCCGAAGTCAGGGATATAGATCAAATTGGCCAATTTATCACATCACCAGCAGCTGTCTTGGCCGCAGAGGATCAAGACAGCCTACCAAGCACGTCTTCAGCACCTGTCGTGGCTACAGAGGATCAAGAAAACCTTTCAAGCACAGATAGAGTAGGCCCCGGGACTGAGACCACGACTCAAATGGAAACCAAAAAGCGCAAAGCTTCAATCGAAAAATTAACAGACCAAAGTGCAAGTTGGGATGGGCGCATGACACTCTCGTCGGGATCAAACAAAAGACTGAAAATCAGCAAAGGAAGCAAAACAGACACAATAGATGAATCTAATACAGGCGTCAAGGCTATAAATAGTCAATTGGGCGGGTTAAGTACGTCTCCTGGAATTATCGATACTACAGATGCATCTCCAGAAAATACAAATACTATAAATATATCTCCCGCGAATGTTGATACTACAGATGAATCTCCCACAAATTTCGATGCTGTAGATGCATCTCCCGCAAATGTCGATACCGCAGACGGTCAAATTCATCTATCCAGCACGGATAAAGCGAGTGTTCAGGCTGCAGCTGGGGAACCACATGGCTCGTCCCTACCACGCCCTTACAATTTGAAGCGAAAAAGGTCGGTCGAGAAATCAGAACAGCAAGATGCATATTATATTTCTTGGGATAATAGCAACATATTAGGGTCAGAATCAAAGAAGAGACCGAGAAGTACCACACAAAGCGGAACAGCCCCAATGAGGGTAGCATCCTCACCAGATATACCTGATACAGATGTTGATACTACAGAGAGTCAACAGTACGGATTGAGCACGTCGCTGGCAGATATCGATACTACGCTTATGTCTGCAAAAGACATCAATACTACAGATACATCTCCTGATAACATCGACACTACAGTTACATTTTTTGAAAAGATTGATACTACAGATCCATCTCCCACAAATATCGATACTACAGATGGACCTCCCGCAAGTGTCCTTGCTACAGATGGTCAAATGGACCTATCTAGCACATATACAGCAGACGTTCAGGCCACGGCTGAGGAACCACATGACTCTGATATAGCACCCTCCGAGATCAAGGAAAGACCAAATAGCAAAGATCAATCTAACAATTAAATTCTGAGACTAGGATTACCAGGTAATCCTTCGTAGCCGCTGCCATGATGCTATGTGAGAAGATTTTTCTATGTAAGTGCAACCAATTGAAAAGCCACGGCTGGTCTAAAGTGCCTATTAATCCGACATGATGGATATCAGAATATCTATCAACATCAGCCATAACAGATAATGATGATTCAGGTTCTGGCCGTTGTAGCATTCAAGAGTTCGACATTGGTAGGAGTGATACCAAGAGTAATTTGGTCACAAGTGTCAGGTGTCGACGATTCACCTCTTGTAGTATTCTTGATGTAAACTATCACGAGTAGCTTGAAGAATTAGACTGCCAGCTTCCCTATCCTCCAACTATTTAAATTAATGTCCCCTTAAATCTGGGATCTAGTATCAATGCAGTGTAGTATATCTCAGACTCATTCATAAAAATATGATATTTCATATCTTTCTTTAGACCTTCCAATGCAAAAGCAATAGCAGGATCTAATTCCTTGAAGCATGCTTGTGGTTCTGAACCTTCGGATAGTGAATCATAAGATTCATAATAGGCTAGGATAGCGAGGCTGATTATGGTCTCTATTTTGGCCCAAATAGTGTAAGTGCATTAGAAGTTGTGAGTACTCGATGAATCTGAGATAGACGCGTCCAATCACTCTGTGAAAGAAGGGATGTCAGTCTATAATGGCACAAATTGATTGGTTCTTGAACAAATGATGGCTATTTACTGGAAGTCACTTATAACCAAAATGTAACAACCAACATGCTTGTCCAATCCCTTAGGGATTAAGGTTGGTTTGATACGAGGACAAACTCAACGGAGAGTGGCAAAAGTGTGGATACTTCAGCTGGTCATGGTCAAATGTTTAGCTGGCTATGGACAACTTTTAGCTGGGTATGGTCAATGATGTTTGCCACAAAACAACCGATGTCTCTTATATAGAATGCATGCTGCGGAAGCAGGAGAGATAGGTTTCAGTACATTGACATTCCATACCTTACTTCGTCAAAGATTCTTAGTAATGTGACCTTGAAGAGGCGCATAGCTCTGAGTTTGTGGTGGTCGAAGTTTAAAATGAACCCAGTGTCGATACACGATTCAGTAGAAGCTATTAAGCATGCTGTTTCCCATGTGGTCATGTTTCGAATGATACCAGTTGTTCACACTTCGCACGGCATCCTACACTTGATTTGCCGATTTTGATAAAATTGATTCCGATAAATTTAACGCTACAACTATCCTCATAGCAGAAGCGCACGGATAAGATCGATTTTGTGTCCTGCTATGCCCAGAACAGTGGAAGGGAGATAGAAGCTCCAGCATCGGTGCCTTACCTCGACATACCTCTGCATATTCTTACAATTGACATATTCATCAAGCTAAGGCGGTATCATCGAGGTACACTCCACACAACCACATTTGTTTGAAAACTCTCCAGTAGGCGAGGTCTCAACTCATAAGTGGCCACGACGCCAACGTCCCCAACCGCTACCTTTAGGCCTCTGAGAAAGGACCTCTCGTAACAACGGGTCGTCTTTCCCCTTATCGACATGCTGGATCCGCACATGTCTAGTTCAATTAGAAGGCCGTGTGCGAATTGCGTCGAGCTAAGAACATACCTCTGCAAATATTTGTGTTGCTGATCCGTACAGTACGGACACACATATCCCGGGGAATCGTGCACAGGGCCATGACGGATCATTTCATTCTTTCTCTTGAATCCTTTGCCTCCTATGCCACGAGGACACCCGGCAACAGGACAGAAATGTGGGCGATCTTGAGAGTGAATATTGGCATGAGAGCTGTCAGAAATATCAGTGATAGTTTCGAAATATGAAGGGATATCGAAGTTGAATACTAGGAAACGACTACCTAACCTTAATAGATACTCCGTCTGAAAAGCGCCTGCAGGACAGCCAGGATACGCACATTTATACAAAGTGGAGCCTGATCTCATTTCATTCAGATGCTCCTCACGGGGTGCTTGTAGTTCCATAGGAATTAAATAGCTAGAACTGTTGCCCAGTGGTGCTTCTAATGATGGTGCCTACCTAGAACACAGATACGGAGAGAGCCGCTGGGAACACTCTAGAACCAATGTAAGAGGCTGGATATATATACGGAGCACATATGTAATTTATGGGTGGAACTGTTAGATTGTATGTAACAATCTCTAGCGGTTTATCTCAACGTATCAAATTATGTATGCACAAGATGTGGGAATCCTTGATCCTTGTTGTTCTTTTTCTTGTCTCTAAGTACAGTCCAGGTGGAAGATATCTTTTACCCCCTATTCGGTGGATCAGTGTGTGGCTCGCTATTATTGGTTGACAAATCTCCCTCTATCTGATTGGTTGAATCAGCTTAGCTAATCCAACAGGAACAAAAAAACTAATAAGGTAGCACACCGGCGATCATTTTGATTGGTCTTGTACACTAACCTGATCAGATAAGCTACAGGCGGGGCCTGACCGCTCTGCTCTATAATATTAATACATTTACATATTACGGAGTACACATGTTCTAGCCCCTCGGCCGTAAATGTGCCCCACCTTATATTTACATAGTACAAATCTTTTCCCACAATGTGTGTCTATGAATGAATCTATCTAGGTACGGAGGACGTACTTACTCGTACAACACCCTTCTACTCATCACGGGTTACCGGGTCGTTCGAACCTCTTTTGGAGGATTCAAGGTTGTGTTTCTTGTCCTTGATGTCATTCGGTCATTTCACCCCCAGCAATGGCGGTCTGCTGTCATGATTGTGAGCGCATCTGTTGCTCAGCTCACCTGCACAGCTGCTGCAATGACACCTAGTTCCATATTTTATTGCTTGCAACGTACTACTAACTAACCATCTAATTGAGACTCTTGGCCTGATTGCAGCGGCTGCTTGCGTTAGGAATTGAATACCTGTTTCTAGCTTCATTGTTCGACTTCCACCGCTTATTTCAATCCCATATGTTCAGCTGAGAAGTAGCCGGCCCTACGTGGACCGGCGAAGGTCCACAAAAAAGTCTTTCGTCACCCATGGCGTCCTGCCATTTCCAGGGCAGGTATGAATGGTCGAACTACTTCGGGAAGGTTCCTAGAATAGGCTATAAAGACTGAATATTTTGGAAGCGTTAGATTAAAATCTAACCCTAGATAACCCTATTCAATCCTGGTGCAGGTTTGACCCTACAACTTTCATGCACTAGGTGAGCTGGTCGGAGTAGAATTTTCAGAACTCGCAATAGCCATTTTCAGCGCCACAAATAGCAACACAGCTCTTTTTACAAAATTGTATTAAAAGGGATTCGCTAATTCCAGCTATGTGTCCGAGATTCCGAGGGACTTACCCTGCCATGCCCCGCAGCATTTGAGCTGTAGTTGGAATTTATGCCAATCAAAAGTGATACGCATACACCTCGCCAGCCGCTCCCGCAGATTGAGTCCTTTTCTCATGCTTAGCTATCCCGTCAACACAGCTATCCCTCTCATTGGATTGACGGAATATGTCCTCACCTCCTGGGTCAATAGAACTTCCTCTACGGGATGCATTCATTGCCATTCGGAGTACGTGGCTTCGCGAGGAGATGATTCACTCTAGTCTCTTGGCAGACCACCACCTCCGTCTCGGTGAGGCCTAGCGCATGATACGGTCTGACCCCGCTTTGTACTTGTCAACCTTTGTGGGCCATATTAGGGATATTTATTGTTTATTGCTCATTGAAGTACATTAGATTGGCTATAATATTCTGGCTGACTTTGAAAGGAATGCGTCAGTCTAGACTTATGTCAGGCATCGAATGGATGGCCAATAATCCGGCAGCTTGCTGCAAGCGTTCATTCAGGATTGAGAGACCTGTCATATTTATACCACCGAGCAAGCACAAGGGGGTATTCTCTATCGAAACCAATACACTAAGACCAGAAGATCTAGGACAAGCTGTGTAATTACATAATATCAACTAAAGTGTACTCAGCACCAGACAAGGGGGTCTTACCTGTTGTACTAGCTGTTCCGCAGACTCTATACATGTAACTAGCTGCAACGCCCCTAACTCAGAGATCATTTCAAAGTCAGCAAGTTGTCTAGATCCTTGGCTGCCGATCCGTCGCCATACTCCGAGAAGCGATCGCTGTCATTAGACAGCAATACATACAGTAGTATTGGAAATTATCAACTGCACGAGAAGTTTCCAGTTTCTAGGCTTCTGCTCCTAAAATTCTCAACAGTCAGATAAAGCCGTCCCTTGCCGAGACCTGTCAATTAGGGAAGCGTTCATTTTCAGCAACTGAGAATTCTTTTATCGATTGTGGCTCAGAATAATCCGTGGACTCCTCATCTAAATGTCGACCCCAACATCGACTTCAGATACTGCGTCTCAGGCTTTTTTGCCTGGTTCTTCTAATAACGTTCTACCCGGAAGTTATCTGCCAGCTAAAAGTCATTACGAAGCTTATCCTCATGCTGCCGGAGCATTATCGGCGGATCAAGGGGGTAAAAACGAAAGCGGAAAACAGACTTACCCGATACTAATCAGCGCCATATCCGAAATTCCCAGTGCGCGGCATCTTGGCCAGTACCGGTGGAAAGAAGCTGAAACAATTCTCTGGAGTTTCGATGTGCGCCAAATCAGTCTAGTCATTCAATTCGGCTTCTTTCATGACAACAATCAACCGCGCCAGATACTTCTGCAACGGAGTTCTAATGTTCTCGATTCGCTTCTGAAATCTTTATTACCACCATATGAATCGGGGATCATCCCTAGCTTGACACTGAATCAAAAAGTCGAAGAGATCTTTCAACGATGTCAGCCAACTATCATATCTATGAATTTGCATTGGGGTTGGTATCCATCGGAAACTCTTCTAGGGCCAGAACCGGCTATTATTGCAGAGGAGATTGAAGCTGAGAGTCAAATGCATTTCAAAGCCGTGCCGTTTGAGGCTTGGGTGAGATGCTCGTTGGGATTTCCGGCGGCTGAGGCACATTGGTTCTTTTTGCAGCATAATGCGTTGTACATTATTCTTTTGAATAATTTACAGGAGTATCCATATGAGCTTCCGAAGTATCGGGAAGTCGAGAAGGTACCCTCCCCCTGACCTCTGAATAAGGACTTTTTTGGTGCTGACGACCTCAGCTTCTTCGACAAAAAAGCCCCTTTGCCCACAAAGCTGTTTTGCAATGTCTTAGACATTTCCCAGACGCAAAAGGAGAAACCCCCAAATTACCCAACAAGCCAAGTCTTGACTTTATTGCCGGCCCTATACAAGAATTGTTTCAGGATTATACCGCCGATCTGGTCTCTATTCTGAAAAAGCTCAGTGTCATCAACATCCGATTTCGACAGACGTACATCCATGTCCCCAAGGTGAACTGGAACAAGAGACTGGACACACGAGCGAAATATCTAGATGAGTGGTTGAAGGCTTTGTCACCCAAAGACTTGGCGAGGTCTTTGACGAGGGCCGATAATCAGCTGTTTGGGCAGTTGTCGCGCGAAGCGCTCACGGATGATCAGAATAAAATCCCTGATATGCTCCATGCGCGATGGGGTGATTTGGTCATGGCTGTTAGGGAGTGTTGTACTGCCATGCCGGATTTTGTACAGTTTATACAGGAATGCATTCAGGTGAGTACTACCTTATACACAAAGCTCAGCTAACAGGATAGATCCTCTATAACATGCGAAACTATAACTCGACTCTAGCTCTAATCCAAGGCCTCCAACACATCAGCATAAACTTCCTCTGGGTCAATCCAACCAATACCACCACTACCACCACTACTATGACTAACACTCAACCCGAAATTCAAACAGTCAACATATACTCTCTCACACCACCGAATGTATCCTACATAGCGGACCCATCCAATAACTACGCCTCATACCGATATGCAATGAAAGTTACACCAGGCATACCATTCCTGCTACCACACATAATCGAATATCGACAACGCGGCGTAGCGGCTCTTGATGAGTTGTTCGGCACTACATAAATCATGTGTTTAAATAACGAGCCCATCGTTTCCTTTCGGTCTATTCTTCTCATGTATCACCATACAAATTATTTGAACACGAATACTTTGATCCGTGATCGCTTACCAACCTGTTTAATACTATCCGAATGTTTTCGTGCTGTGCTGGGGTTCCGTGGGTTTAATCTAGCTAATAACAGTACTACTAACGCATGTTTTGGGCTTAATTCCGATTTTTCCTGTTCTTTTTCTGGCTGCCCCCCGCATTGCTCGTCTCTTAAATTTTATGTCTCGTCACTACTCAAATTATTTTCTATAGAGAGTATCAAGATGTGAATCACGGTAAGGTAGGACTTTGCTGTTTCTGTTCGAGTTGGTTGCTCGCTTGTTTATTGTTTACGGCGTTTAAGTCTGATTAGCTCGTAGATATCATATGCCTGTGCAATTATGCAGTTGCTCGTGTTGGTGGCTGTCTTTATCTCTTATTTTATAAACCCAGCAATGCAGCCGTTCTCAGCTGCCTTGATATATTCTTAATTGCTTATCTTCGGAATTAAGCTTGAAGAGTCTTGAGGAATCCCGCTGTAAGCACCGAGATACGTAAAGACTACAGATCACTGAGCCTGGACGCGCATGCAATAAACTCAGGTCTACACCATACACCATGAGACCCAGCCAAATATCAGTATGCCTAGATTTCAACTCTCAGGCATAGCCCCAAAAACACCAGTCTCTCTTGTAGAGCTGTAGAAACCGTTACCTGTATTTTCTATATGTTGATTCCAAATAGCATACCCAGCTTTTATTAAAAGTGCTCTGGTGTCTCACTTGCCTGCCCACAGGCATAAAGCTCTAACCCGTGGCCGCGATCTTGTTCAGATAACAATTGAGTCTTGTCATCCTCCTCCGAAGCTAAGCCAAGGCCATAGCATCTTTCCTCTTCAGCCCATCGTATAGGCTCAGGGCGTGCTTTTTCGGTTAGGCTGAGTCAATGGCCTTCGAGTACCTATTCGCTCCATCTGGAAGGGCCGCAGGAGAGAGTGGGAGTTGGGTGGCTCGCGGTCACCTGTGGCAAAGCCTTAACAAGTCCGGTCGATACCAATACCGTCTTCCACCTTGCTTCTCACTTCGATGGTGATTTTACCTATTCCTATTCACAGATCCGCGGACGAAAACATCTGCTGCTATCAATATCTCCGGAGTTTTAACCTTAAGCTAGCCGTAAAGGCATTTGCATTAGGGGCGATACCGCGTTAGGATATGTATCCTTGGGACCTGAGTGCGAGTCAGGCACAATGCATTTCTACTCTAAGCTGACCGACATGCGCATCCGTCCTCTCGAGCCGCTATAAGATCTCCGTATGCCACCTAAAACGGATATATCAGCGATACCACATTGCTAATCTAATAGGTATTGTCGGATTGTTGGGTTCACTTCAGGCCAATCCTGAATAGTATTTTAAAAGTATGGGAAAAGAAGAAATGACTAGCAAGATTGTATGTATTCAGTTCTGTCTCTCTTTATCCTTCAGGTTCCAAAGCTGAGTTTTTATAAACATCTCTGGCGGGGTGATTTTATGAGCTATCATGAGGGTTAACATTGGGCTGAAATCTAAGTGCCCAGATATATGCCCTAAGGTGTCTTTAGACCTGTAAGATCGAACAGCCAATCTCTCTGTTTCGTTTGAAATCCGGATTATCTGACACGCATAAATGCCAGCGATGCCAAACAGCAGCGGTCCAAGTACAGGTTGGAAACACAGATACTAATAAAATATTAGCACAAGTGCTGGCGATACCACGCTGCTGTGGTCCGAGTACGAACTGGAAGCATAGGCACCTGGTAGATAGCCATGACCTAGGTACGAGCTAGGAACATACTCTTCGTAGTACTCTCCGGTCATCTTCATAGCGATGCGGCCCGCTCCTTCATTACCATAATCAAGTAACTAGCTTCCCGTTGCTTTTAGAAATCTCCCTAGCAGCCCACCATGTCTTGCAGAAGTCAATACTTGTAAAACCCGCGTGGCATAATACTCGTACATTTAGCTTTTACTAACCTAGCTCAGTTCCCACCCTATGCCTTTATACTTAGAAAGCGGTGCGCCGTGTCTGTCAAAATCAATAAGTAGTGCGGTCTTACTGTAATGTAGGCCTTGCTCTTGACACATCCAGCAACGACTTTCCCGCCAGCCTTAACAACTTCTAATACATTGTAAGAGCACTTGGGTTTACTAACCCTAACCCTAAGCGTACCCTAATGTGGTTACGTTCTTGGTATGTAGAATGGTAACGTAATCGGTAATGGGACCGCCATGTAAGCAATTGTTGTATTCTAGGTATAGCGTATCGTGTTGTAACACAGGTTTTCTAACAAATATTGTATGTAGACAAAAATGCTTGATTCATTGCCCCTCTGTCCGTTTCTTCCTGGGGAATTCTCCTCTATATCCAAGAATCCAAGCCCCTCGCTATAAACGTGTCTTTCCTTATTGGCTGACCAACTGGCCAACTAGGAGCCGACTCGTTGTCGATTCGACACCTCATATTATTTTACAAGAGGCATCGCGCGCCTATAATACGAGGCTTGCAACAGCAATCCGGCCACCTGCGTATTCCATACAAATGATCAGTCTTTTTGACCTCCATATCCCAACAAAATTGTATATAGTGGTGCATATCAAATTCACCGATAATAATAGGAATATAAAGTATATTAAAGATTTTAAATCTTAAACTTATCCTATAAATTTTCATGAAAGTTACCAGAAGTGGGTGGTAGTTTATTGTAATATTGTAAGGGCTGATTCCATCGCGAGATCCAAGGAGCCAATCCGAATAGGAGAAAGATTGGTGCCCGCGATCTAAGGCAGGAATACGGGTGAATGCCTAAGGCCTTGGCGAGTCAGGATAGTTTAGATATCCCTTATAGTGAGCATTAGGCGGGACTAGCCCGTAACATATGGAACACGCAGGTGGCCGGATCGCTTACCGTACATGGCGATCCAATTACCAATTACGTTAGAACCAATGCACTCTTACGTAGACCTCGCCAAAGCCCGCCCATGGGCAGGCATCGACAGTGGTTGCCTGCCCATGGGCGGCCCACTACATGCCCATCTCTGCATAAAATTCCAAAATAGAATGCATAAAGTGCTGATTCAGCATAATTTATTACGGTCATTTATACTGTCTTGGTCGTTACACTAGAACATGAAGCCATTTTATATTCCTCCTGTGATGCCTTAGGAACCTGTCTTTATGATATGTCATGTTCAATACTGTCGGATCTTTGTATCTGCTTATTTACTGTAGTAGGGAGATGTCCGGTGTATTCCTAGTTGGACCTTTGTGTTGACTGTCTATTTATACACCTGCAAACCCACAGCTAGATCCTGAACTTCTTCCTATCTCCATGCTTAGTTTTTCGTCGATTAGCTACCATAGGATAGGAATAAGCACCTTCACACCTCCTATTGAAGTCCACAGAAATGCCGCTGTATTTCAAGTAAGAAGTGCATACATAGTCAAAAGTATGCAGCTCTAATATAGTTCGGCAGTCGTGGTGTTACTACTAAGATGGTGCTAGAAATATATATTGATTTAATGGTGTATATCTATTCATGCTACTTGATTTTTAAGAGTCTTACGTACGTTGTCGAAGCCCCGAGGTTCTAAAATTAGCTTACATCAAACTTAAGAGCAAGGTTAACCCCTAGTTAACTATCCTACCTGCCCATACTCAATGCTTCCCTTCTACGTGTGGGTGCTCTTTAGCTTATGTACAACGTTAACATCATGCTGCCCTACTGGCACAACAACGTCTCTCCCGTCTTCGACTCCGTCTCGTCCATCTTCGACTCCGTCCCCTCCATCTTCGACTCCATCTCCAACTCCATCTCCTCCAACTTCAATTACTCCAACTTCAGCTACATCTCCACCAAACTCAACTCCGTCTCCGGTATGTTTTCTCGGAGACGCAACTGATGCTAATCATAACCAGTATATGGGCTTGCTTAGCGCCGAAGCTTTAATAATTGATTCTTGCTATTTGGCCACTTTTGACGATACAATTAACATCAAAATCAAACCCTATACTCAAACTGCGGGCCAGTTGTCAATTGGGGATTCATCCGATCCGACTAACAACGGCAGAAACTACACTATGAAAATTAGTGCTGTCGAGGACTGTTCCGGTTCTGTTTGGGGTTCCGACGATTTTAATGACTGCGTCAATTATCTGTTGACTGTATTGAATGGCTGTAAGTCTCACCAAACAGTCTGGCTATGATATTTTTCTAACAGTACCAGGTAACACGAAAAAACATGTTGAAGACTCAAACTTATGGAAAGGTGGAGGATATATCATAGGTAATGAATGTACCAACTATACCATATGGAATGATGTTCCAGTGTAGTTGCGGTGTACGGTGGTATGAGTAAGCGGTGCAACTGAGTAAGTGGTACACCTTCAATTTTATATGGCTTTCCATATAAATTCAACGTTTTAGATCTCAACAAATTAATATGTAAACCATATCTTAGAATTAGATATATTTTATAAAATACTAAGAATGATCTGATTGTGGGACTGGTTTTATATGGGATAATATAAATCGCATCGCATTGAAAGTTACGGTATAACGTTTAGGGTCAGAAATTTAGAATTTATCTGTTACGGGCCAGTCCCGGCTTATTAGACGCACTGATCCCCTATTGAGGGTCGACAGGGCAGTAGAGGTTTGCATGAGGCGGACACTACCATCAATGAGTGAATATGGATGGAGATCTAAATACGGACTGTTCCCCCTCGATAGATAGTTTCCCTCTTCTCAACTAAACTGGCAGAAAAACGCCCAGTCAGATGCAGTGGAGCGTCTAAATAATTAAAAGAGTGAAAAAGTATCTTCAGCGGAAGATCTAAACGTCTTTTATGAATACTTTTAGCCCTTCACATTGGGATGGTGGAAACAAACCCAATGAATCCTTATCAACAACTCCCTCAAGTTCGAAGCGATGGGCCATGAGCAACGTAACTAGGGTAAGATATATGATGCGTTTTGCCAGTCTATCAGAAGCGGTTAGACTCTTAAGATTCCGCTACTAGACCTTGCTTGTAGGGTTGAGAAGAACATACTGCATTCCTAGGCATGATCGTTGTCCAATACCAAATGGCACAAGATATCCCAGCATTGCCTGCTTTTTGTCGTCATCGAGCCATCTATCTGGCTGGAATTCACTAGGTTTTTCGAATATTTTGGGGTTATCATGTAACGTTTTCTGAGTTACGCTGATTGATGTCTTCACAGTGTTAGGTACTTGACTTTGAGAAACGGTTGTAGTCAAATACTTACACCAGCCGGTATAACAAATTGGCCGTTATAGCAAAGGGGTTCGTGTAATATCCTAGGAGTGCGAAACTCGCTTCCTCTTTCAAGCCTAAGGGAGGCCGTCAGTTTAGTGCCATGCTTTTTTAGAAAGGGTGTATACCTGAATCCTTCTAAGACTACTGCTTTCTGCAAAACAGTAAGTCAATAAAGTAAGGCAATCCGATAGAACACGTACCAAATAGGGTAGGTCTTTCAATTGCTGGAAATCCACGTTTTCGCTATTGCCTGGTAATGTTTCCCACAGCTCTGTTTGGAGCCGTTCTAGCTTTTCTTTATCCTTGAGTAAGTAATACATGATCGTATCCAAGACATTTGCTGTTGCTTCAGTCCCTGCCAGTACAACTCCCAAGGTATCAGGAAGCAGTGAAGACCTTTTCTTGGCCTCCGGAGGAACTTTGTCACTGGCGTAAATTGCAGGCAACATCGGACACATAGGATCATCTGGTAAGCTTTCGGAGGAGATAAGAGGGTCGATCACTAAGCGGGCAAGTTTCTGTAAGTGTCATTAACCTCGGGTTAGTAAGACAAATTATAGTGATAGATGATCCCTACCTGCTGTAAATGAACAATCGAATTCTCGTTCTCTAATGACCATCCAGTGACATGATAATGCAGACGCTTTGGAAATAAAGCGAGCAGTTTAAACCCCACATTTCCTGCTCCACCAATCCAATTAGCTATCGTATGTCCAAACAAAAGGCGTAGCAACGTCATGATTCTAATAAATTGTCCAAAAGAGCGATTAAGATGTGCTGCAAAATCGGACGCAAGAAGTCCCTCTGGGTTAGGCACAAGATATACCCGGCATATGATTTCATATGTCAAGGTTCGAAAGGCACTAGAAAGATTGACACTGTCCGTTAAGCCTCGGGAGAAGCGCTTTACAACCCCATAGATAATCGGCTCATAGCGTTCGGCTGCGGACTTATAGTATGATTGAACGCCCGCACGCCAATGATAATGTCTTTCATGATCAGGCGTCGTCACCAAAGTATCTGCAATTGCGTAATAACGTGGGCATTTATCAAGGTTATTCTTCCTATTCAGGGTGCGGTAAAAATCGGGGTCATCGATGTGCAACTCGTGTGGTGAGATCCGAATAATAGGCCCTACTTCTTAGCGGACACCTGAAGCAATAATTCCAATGGAGCTTACCGTAGATTCCATGTAAGGCCTGAATATGTTCATATAATTTCATACCCTTAACTGCGTCATAGTAGAACTCATATAGAGTTGTGACTGCAGCTATCTTTGGGCCTGGGAATCCAGCTAGCGGCGATAAATAGAGGCGATATAGTATAATGCCAATAATGTATGCTGTGATCGCAAATAAGAGAACCTCTAATTTAGTCCATACTGGCCAAGAGACCCAAGCCATATATAGAGCTTCAATGAATGTTGTAGGCATATCTCTAAACAGTTATCAAGCATACTGGATACAGTACCGTGACGAGATGATATTAAAAAAGTCAGGGAGTTATGGGACCATGGGTAATATATACCCTAATAAAGATCTAGAATACTACGTAATGCAAAGCTATCTTGCGTATCTACTTTGTTTTCTTTTCAATAACGTTGAGTGTTGTCTTACAAATACAGTAGATATCAATGACGTAAATGAAATTATGCCCTACAGGTGCATGGATGGATGGATGATCATTTACCAGACCCCTCCCTTGGAGGATATGAAGGCTACCACAACTATAACTAGCACTATATCTCTAATATTCTTACGGCCGAACATGCCTCTAGAAAAACTTCCTGAACGGGTTTGTAATCAATTGCCTGATAGGTCCGATCTTCTTGATCTCAGAGGCTACGATCAGGTAGTCACGATTCTCCAGGGGGCGTTAAAGATACCTAAAAATCGTGACAAAATCGTGCGGAGAGGACTACCGCTCCGCACGAATTTTCGAACTGTTCGAAATTCGCGAATATCGACGAATCGAATCGAATTCGAACCTTGATTTTCGAACTTCGAATCCACGGGCAATTCGATTCGTCAAAATTCGCGAATTTCGAACAGGTTCGCGAACTATATCCCTGGCTTCCCTGGCTTTCTTACAAAAACAGGCTTTTAGGGACCATTAATCCTAAAAAGAAAGCTTCAAATTCATAAATAACTCCAAATACGCCAATTACGCATATAATAAACTATTCAGACTTCCAGCGTGCAGCGTCTTTCAGCCTTAATAAAGTCCCAAGAGTCCTACCATTCATAGAGAAGCGTCGGATTCCTAATATATCTCTCCCGCCATTGAACAATCTCTCTACATCTACCTCTGCTGCTGGTATAGCAAGGTGATCTTGTGCTACCTTGGCCATACAAGGAAATTCAAGCTTGTTGGCCTTCCACCAGTTTCTTATAAACTCAGTCTGACTCTGGTTTGGATCAAAACCAGTACTAATCGTAGGAGTATCAAAATATTGGTCGATATCTGACTCAGAAATGTTATACTGGGTAGGCTGGAATGCCTCTAGAAAACGATATTCCAAGCTCTTATAATTTGCACTAAGAGCAGTCGATATAGGCTTTTTTTGTGCAGGATATGCTTTCTTCAGAAAAGCCCTGATTCGGACAATAATCTTCTCTCCATCTGGTAACATTTTGAGCCACTTAGTCTTGATTCGAGGGTCTAGAATGCTTGCAATATAGTATATATCATTGCATTTAACATAGTCGTAATACCTTTCCAGGAGTGAGATTCCATCAGAAACAAGAATAGTTGCTTCAGCTGAGAGATTCTTCCAGTCGCCCTGTCTTTCCCTGATAGCTAACAGCATAGAATGGAGCTCTTCATATAGACGCGCAGCCATATGAATTGAAGGGCTATCTCGAGAGATATACTCAGTATATTCGTTAAAGGGAGCCAGAATTTTCTTGATATCAGAGAGCTGCCTCCAATCGTCAGATGTAAGACGTAAGGCTTCAATTTCTAGCTCATCATTGACTGTATCTTCAAGCTGCCGACGGCACTCTTCAGCTCTCTCAATCATGATAAAAGTAGAGTTCCATCTAGTATCGACGTCGTAGTTGATAGCTTTAGTGCAGTCAGGCCGATTATCCCACTTCTGTATTCGCTAGGGAGATCGTGCAATCCAAAGGACAAGTATTCGAAGCTTTGCAATAGGTGAAGAAGGCACCTTAATCTTCTTCCAACTCTGCTTAGCAACATCATTAAGAAGATCGCAGGCTTCTTTATGCGAACTAGCACATAGAGACTTTAATATAGCCTTCATAACCAAGTTCAAAATGTGAGCAAAGCAGCGGATTTGGGAATTTTGAGTAAATTTCATCGTTCCTTCTCGAATGATAGTCTCTGTTAGATAATCATCATAGCTCTGAGATAACTTCTGGTGAAGATATCGGTGTAAAGTGTCATTATTAGATGCATTATCAGCTGTAATCGTTATAACTTTATCAGATATATGAAATCTCTGAAGAGCTGTAGCTACAATATTAGCTAAGTTTTCTCCTGAGTGGTTTCCTTCAATTTCAACAAATTCAATGCAAGCTCGATATTGCTGAAAATCAGAGGACATCCAGTGAGCATTAATTGCTAGCATTGGCAGTGAATTCTGACTTGTCCAACCATTAAGAGATAGCGCTATTGAGGAGGCTGAAGACATTAAGCCTCGTAATTCACTATCAACAGCGTCAAGCCAAAGACTTAATCGACGTGAGATAGTATCTGCACTTGGTATAGAGTCCTGGGACCCGGCAGATCTCAACATAGTCTTAAATGAAGGCTGTTCGACGCATGTAAATGGCTGGGAGGTTGATATAATCCAATTTAAGAGAGCTTCCTCAAACGGAAGCTTTTTTTCCTTTGAAATCCATGAACTTAATGGTCCTTGGCACTCTGAAAGACCATCTTTTGAGAGCTTATGAGTCTGCTGGAGATGCTGTTTTAATGCTGTAGTTGAAGATTGTAGTTTAGATGCAAATCGAAAGAATCGACACGTAGATGGTGATACAACACATAGATGTTTGAGCTCAGGCCGTTCATTATTCCCTAGTTTCCAGGTACAAGGTTCAGGTGTTGTTAAGAAGTATTTCCAGATCCAGCTCCGCTCTCTTGGCCTGGCCTCATCTCTCTGCTTGATTTCAATACTCCTAGCCTCGCATTCCACCCGAGATATTGACTGCGAAGGGTGTATTTCTGTATTGAGGTTTGATAAGCTCCGAGAAACATTACTGTCAGCCGCTGGAGATCCTGAAATCCTAGTGCTAGGCGATTTTGTAGTATGGACTACTTTCTTTTTTCTAGGTGCTGGAAGTGATACATCCCCTTCAAAGAGACCATGTTCGTTAAGGGCCACATAATCGCATTTTTTCTTCCTAGTATGGGGAAGTTCAAATATTGGAGCAAGTGGAGAAGTCATCTGGAATACAATATTAGTATTTCCATCTTGTGCCTTGATTAATCACTTACTTTAGTTATATCTCCTTCAAAAGTGCTGGTTTTATGACCTTCAAAGCTGACGGTTTGAACTTGTTATGGATAAAAGCGTGTATTCGTGGAGACGTGTCCGCGTGGTTTATCCACTAAGCCTAATTAATACTATTCTTTTACTGCACCTCAGTCCTCGACAATACTATGTATGCAATTGTTGATATTTTCACTCTATATTCATTTATTACGTGTAAATAAGCGTGATCTGTCAGTTAATTTAATTTGAAGCAATATAGACTTAAAATAAGGCTTTCGTGATGTTCCGGGAGTTCAGGAGTAGAAATGATATATTCCTGAGATTGACGTTTTGGAGTAAAAAATGATTTCTGTTCATATTGCCCGACAACTTGTTAGATTCAAGGAAAACTATGTAAAATTTTATATCCTAGAATATTTCTAGCTCAGCTCTCCCTATATCTCTTATTTGATAAGAGTTAATTGTTAAATTGTACGCGGTATTGCTATATATGTAAAATCGAGTACGTTGCTGGACATGGTGTTGAACAAAAGTACTGCCGAGTATCTCTTACCGCCTTCCCAATTGGGACTAGATCAAATAAGTTCGCGAACCTCGAATCGAATTCGAATCGACTGTGGGTTCGAATTCGTACGAATAGTCATATTCAGGATTAATTCGAATCGAATCGAATTAGGAAAAAGTCCGATTCGATTCGATTCGTACGGAGCGGTACCCAACTTCTCAAGCAGTCGTACGCCGCCAACTTCGCTGCAGTGGCTGTAACGTTGAAGGGCACAGGATTAACCAATGTCCTAATCGTACTAGTAATTAATTTTTTGTATATAATTTGTATATGGTTGAGAAATTGTGATTTGAAATCAATATAGAGAGTTACTTTCCGGAGAGGTGGCCGGATCGCTTACGTGGCCGGACCGCTTACCGATTACGTTAGTTCTGTGGAGGCTGAGTTATAAGGCAGCGATTAGCTGCGAACCCTACACGCATTTAAGATCCAGGAATCGAAGCCCTATCTCCTTTACCGTAATACGACGCAGTGGCATATCTCTCCTCACATTAGTTTAGGGTTGAAATATGCAAATAACGTGTACTGCATAACGATTGGCGGTGTCGGCGCGTATCCACCATATTCTGCCTGACGCTTAGCTTAACCCCACTTCCCCGCAACTCTGCGTGAGAGCCGAGTTTGAATCATCAACAACACGTTAATGGCAGACCTGTATCAAAGTTTTCTACTAAATTTTCTTTATCTACATGTACCCCTTAATCATAATTTCAACAAGACATCCGAGAGCTATCTGAGATGGCCAACAGAGGCGAGCGCAGAGAAGACGAGCGCAGGACATCTGTGCCCGCGGGTTTGCTCGTAGACCTTGCTTTGTGCATAGGTATTCAAGGAAACACCAGAGCATCTATTGTTATCCGGACTGCAATGGAGGTAATTCGCAGAGAAAAGGAAAATTTGAAGAGGTCGAAAGCGAAGAATTCAGAGTTGGAAGAAAAGAATTCAGAGTTGAAAGCGATGAATACAGCTTTGGAAGAAAAGAAATCAGAGTTGGAAGAAAAGAAATCAGAGTTGGAAGAAAAGAGATCAGAGTTGGAAGAAAAGAAATCACAGGTGGAAGAAAATAAATCAGAGTTGGAAGCAATGAATACAGCTTTGGAAGAAAAGAAATCAGAGTTGGAAGCAATGAATGCAGAGTTCCAGGCGAAACTCACGATGATGGAGGCTTGTGGCAAAGAGCTGGGGACGATTTTGCGAATCCAGGGAGATATAAGCCCCAAAAAGATATTAGGTAAGGCAACTAAATATGTGACATTACATGCATTATTTAAGGGTTAAATACATAAAAATTTCTACCAGACTCTGTATCGAGGAACGCAACCTATGTCAACCTACTATCGACAAGCACAGCTATGACTCAAGAACAAGAAAAGGAGAAGACGGCTAGTGCTCGTCGGAAATCTGGAGATCTCAAGAGACAACTTAGAGTTGCTTATCACCAGATGAAATGTCTCAAAGATGAGAACGATAGCTTGAAACGGAGTAAAGAAGCGATATTCTTGTAAGATACAGTAGTCCAATGATCTCTTGCATGATTTTCTAACTTCTTAAAGTGCTGAGGCATTCCAAAACATATGGAATAATATCCTCAGGATGTGGGATCAATATTATATTCGAGAAACTAGCGAATTTAGTCTTGCTGTTTCACATGTCTGGCAACACCTTTGCGATAAGATTTGGTGCCATGAAGGGCCGCTTGAAGGCTTGCCGTCACTACCTGCCGGAGATACTCGCTATTATACAACTAGCATTCTCGCAAAATTTCGTTCGGTCACTCAGGACAATGGGCCGCTTGATTCAGATTTAGCCCATATTTTTTTGGAGGCAGCCAACCTTTGGGTGGACTTGCATAAAGACAATTTCTCTGTTCATGTTAGTCGAGTTCTCAGGGAACTGGATGGTGATTCATTCATTTCTCCGCTTATCGTGGTTCAAAACGAGCATGGCCCTCTTGTGTGCTCAGGCAATGCATACTTTCCTAAGGCTGAGTTGAAAGAATGTTATTATAAAACTTGACTCATTATTGTTACATGTATGCAACTTGAGTGGTCGAATGTTTACATTGAAATGTGGAAATACTACTATTACTCATGTGGAAGCCAAAATAACGCAAATAATGCAAGAATGTGGCCTCCGAAATGTAGACTGCCTGAAGCTTGCCGGGTAATTGGTAATATGCTGTCTGATTTCGGGTTGGCATCACAAGTCACGAGAGACCGAGTGTAATTTATCTATTTTAGTCTTGAAAATAACACAGTTTCGAAAGCATCCAGGAAGTTTTTGACAGCTCGCAGGGCCTGCCAGGCATTCTTACACTGGTGGATTGTCTGGTCCGGTAACTATCAACTCGATCGACTTCCACAATGTATTGGAGTTTCAAGTGACGTCATGTTATCTTACGGTAAATTACGGTTAAGTGAAACTTTAGGAATATCGTTAATCCGACATTTTCCCTGATCAAGGTTAGTGTGAAAAATATCAAACAATTCTGTAAGGGAAAGCGTGCACCGTTTTTGCAAATAACTGTATAACAGTAGCTCTATCTAATCCAGTCTTTTTCTGACTAAGTTTCAGTAGTCTGATATCTCGTAATATTTGGCGCTATCAGTGTATGTTGGTTTGGCATCCGTACATGAAGATGCCACGAAGGAATACTGCTTCCGATCTTGATGGACTCTCACACCTGGTGGAGACCCCGATGATGGTTAGCGTTCTCCCGTAATCATGTCATCCGAAATGGCAAGATCGAGCAACAGCGAACCCATCAAGAACTGAAGGGCCATGGTTATTACGAGACAAAATGGTCTCCCTAGCTTGGCGGATCGGAAGGATAAGATTGGCCATTTTCATCTCCTTGTTTTGGCTCGAATGAAGGAAGCCGGAGAACTGGCTCCTCAGCCATCAAGAATTTCCGAAGGGTTCAATATAATAGATCGTGTACAGTAACCGAGCAGTAGGAGTAAATTCCTACTGTTGCGGTCGGCTATTTGTGTGTTTGAGAACAGGGGAATATGCTTCAAGCCCTGTATAACGCCAGAAATTGCCGTAATCTACCAAGGAGGTGGGCGGAAGGGCGATCTTCTCGTTTTTGATCGAACGGTATATTTTCCGGTTTTCGATAGTTGAAGCGAGTAAAATCGTACACTGATTTTACAACGAACTGTACATGTATTGCAGGAAAAAAGGATTGATAGAGTGAGGTAAGACAGCACATGATGTTAGGGTTGTATTCTTAGGAACCAGCATCATAATACTGCCTGTCTGCTGATTTAGAAAAAGATCACTTTCGCCAAGGCATGAAAGATATAGTGTTCGTGATCGTTGAAGGTCCCTTGCATCCAGATGTAACTTGGAAGTTTGGAATACCCGCGAGTGTTATACGAGTCTACACGATAGATGGCAAAATAACGGCATATGCCCTAGATAGCTTTCTCCTCTTCTTCCTGTGTGCTTAGTCTTGATAACTATTTAAATACAAATTTCATGAAAATGTCTAATGGTACTCAAAACTTGTAACATGATTCTATAGTTCTATTTTTAAATTGAAAGCCACCTTAAACGTCTATACGCATGTATGTCAACTTTCCTAAGAGGAAACTTTCTTTCAGGATTAAAATGTTTTTCCTCACAATTATAGCTTCAATCTTTTTGTTTTTCCATCTAGTCAAAGCATCATACCATCTTAAGAAAAGTTTCACAAAAAATGGAGCATTTTTCGAAAATTTTGAATTTTTTACGGTAAGTGCCCGAACAGCGAATATATATCTAATCACTGATGGATGTGCTTTAGGGGGCCGACCCAACAAAGGGATATGTCAACTACATGGGCCGTGAAGCGGCAACTGAAGCTGGGCTGGCCAAAACTCTTGCCAACGGTACTGTATATCTAGGCGTTGATTCTCACACAATAATGAAAAGTTCGGGTCGACCTAGTGTCCGCCTGACTAGTAATGACAGCTTCAAATATGGCTTGCTTATGTTAGATCTTATTCATATGCCTGATAGTGTATGTGGTACATGGCCCGCTTTGTAAGTCAATTCCACTAGATCGAAGGTCCAGACAAATAACAGACAATAGTTGGCTTCTCGGAAGCGACTGGCCAACAAACGGAGAGATTGACATAATTGAAGGGGTTAATATAGATAGTAACAACACTATGACTCTCCATACATCTTCGAATTGTCAGATGACCCAATCCGATTTCTCGGGGACGATGGTGACTTCAAACTGCAACGTCGCAGCTGCGGGACAGCCTGCTAATGCAGGGTGCAGTATTATTTCTGACTCGAATGTGTCTTATGGGACAAAATTCAATCAACAGGGAGGGGGAATATATGCCATGGAATGGACGGACTCAGAAATCAATATATGGCTTTTCACACGCAATGGCAATCTCTTTCCGGATATGTCGTGTGATAATATGGATCCTACATTCTGGGGAAAGCCTACAGCCCAGTTCAAAGGAGATTGTAATTTTAATGACTATCTTGGACCGCAAGCTGTGGTAAGTACCTTGAACTACTGGCAGTTCTCAAGAGGAATGTCTGATTCGCTAAATCGTTCTAGGTATTTGATACCACCTTTTGTGGAGATTGGGCGGGTTCTGTCTGGAAAGCTAGTAGCTGTGCTGAATTGGCTAGTAGTTGTGAGCAGTTCGTTGCGGAAAATCCATCAGCTTTTGCCAACACGTATTGGCAAATTAAAACACTTAATCTATACCAATAAAGTAGTGAGTGATAAACACACAGCCAATATCAGGCTAGTCTAAGACTCTGACTTGCTCACTCCAGGACTATGACCAGGCAGAATTTGCCCTGTAGAGATATGGCTAGAACAGGAAGCTGTCTGCTGGTACGAGACACGCAAATTTGAAATTAGCGTGTTTATGTAATTAGTGTAACGTATTAAGTTAACTAGTTAACTAATAACTAACTAGTTAAGCAAGCTGGCTTATAAAATCGTGGTAGAATTATCAATCCGTTACTATAAATAACTATCTATTTTTAGGGTTATAGATTGAATCCTAGGATTATGATACAGGTCCTAGGACTATAAATATCCATTTGGAGAGTAGACGCAATTGATTTTGATTAGGTTCGATGGGAAGGCGAGCTATTCCGATACTAAAGATCTTGTCAGAACGAAAAAGGGAAATCACCTTTAAGAAAAGATCTCAAGGCTTGTGGAAAAAGGCCCGAGAGCTCTCTATACTTTGTGAACGAGATACGCATATTATCATTCGTAACCGCTATACAAATCTGGTTGAAGTATACCCATCATCTGGAGAAAAATTTACTATTGATCGTGACTCTACATTCTTGAAAAAATTCCTGTGGCCAGATTACACTAAGACAAATGCGCCAGAACACAGTGTCGATTTGCGGAGTTCGCCAAAGCTTCAGCTAGCCGTGAATAGCGCCATTCAGCTCCGGCATATATTTCAGAGGATGGTAACTATTTTCCAGGAACTTGAGAAGTCCTAAAAGAAGTCTGAAGTGTGCATGTAACATGTCTTAGATTGATAGCTACAAAGCTCAAAATCTATTATGCAGTTTTACCGAAGCCCCACTGTCACCTATATTGTAACCAAACACGCAATTACTCCTCCGCTCAGCCTCGATATCTACCTTGAAAATTTCAGATTTTTTATGTTGAGCCCCTAAATGGATCTACTTGAGAGATTTACTAGAGGACTTATTTGGAGGCGTTGATTTCTGGACGTTACCAACTAACCCATTAAATGGCTGGGCTTTTTGCCTAGTTCTAGGGCTCCGTAAGCTCACCACTCCGTAGCTCAAAAGCTTGGTGGTCACGTACACTGATTTAGAATGCCGTAAGGCGACAAGCCATATGCTGTCGGTGGGGTCTCAGGCACTTCTTTGATGGTAGCTTATATGTAGCAAGCATAAAAGGCGGTGCCGCGTCCATTTTTAAGAAACTTTTCCCAGTTCTTATTGTGAACAGTACTGAGAATAAGTATGAGAACTGATCCCAAATCATTATTGCCGCACGAAGCATTTCAAGCAATAATACAAGTTCCCAAAAAATGCGCCAAGTCATTTTTATGTTGGGCTTTATAGTTCTTTGGGATCCAGTAAGTATTCTGGCTAGTGATCCTGCTAAATCACTATTTCTACGCGACAGTAGTGGAATTACTATTACTGTCACCACAGATGTTACGGAAACAGAGTGTACTTGCACAGAAACCAGTGCAGCGTCCACAACGTCTTTTCTTAGCACAACAACTGCACCCATGAGCTTGACCACCGATACCATTGTTGTGACAGTTCCAGTTACCCAAACAGAAACACTTCCAGGGAATGAACATACTGTAACTGAGACTGTGTCAACGCCGACTACAGTTATAGTCTCCTATTTTAGTACAGGCGCTACAGTTGTGACAGTTCCTGTTACCCAAACCGACACACTTCCAGGGAATGAACATACTGTTACTGAGACTGTGTCAACGCCGACTACAGTTATAGTCTCCTATTTTAGTACAGGCACTACAGTTGTGACAGTTCCTGTTACCCAAACCGACACACTTCCAGGGAATGAACATACTATAACTGAGACTGTGCCAACGCCGACGACAGTAACAGTCTCCTATTTCAGTACAGACACTACAGTCGTAACAGTTCCTGTTACCCAAACAGACACACTTTGGGAGAACGGACTTACTATAACCGAGACCGTGCCAACGCCGACGACAGTAACGGTCTCCTATTTCAGTACGGACACGCTTTCGGGGAACGAACATACTATAACCGAGACTGTGCTGACACCGACGACAGTAACAGTCTCCTATTTCAGTACAGACACTACAGTTGTAACAGTTCCTGTTACCCAAACAGACACACTTTGGGGGAACGAACTTACTGAGACTGTGCCAATGCCGACGACAGTAACAGTCTCCTATTACAGCATATACACTACTTTTGCAACAGTTCCTGTTACCCGAACTCGCACGATTCCGGTGACTAATGTCATATCATCTGTTACCCAAGCAGATACGGCTTTGGGAAAAGAACTTGGCATTACCACGCCAGACACCTCAATAAGGATATGTCCTAGTCTGAAGACTAATCCAACATATACTCCTCCGACTCCTTTGCCTACGAACTACCTATGGGGCTGCCCGCCAAACACGCTATGCAATCCCAACCACACCGAAAGATGTATTGAGGCCAGTTTACCTGCAGAATCTTATGTATGTAGCCCTGAAAATTGTATTGAGACCCCTCCACTCCCATCGCCTGAATTTTGGGGCATCCCCATAGAATCAAACGAAACAGGAAAATTTCAGCCTCCTCCAAAATATTTTAATATCAACCCCCATTACTTTGGGTTGCCTTACGATATTTTCATATTTGGCTCAAGCGAAGCAAAACTCTCCTATCGACAAATCACAACGACAGTCCCCCCAATGTGCTATGATGAATGTAATGACTGTGCACTGGAGGCACAGAGGAAAGGTAAGGTGCCGGGACTGTGCAGCCCGGGATCGGATTTCCAGGAACTGAAGGGCCTCTGTGAAGCATGCATACACAATCATTCCGAACCGACAGAGTTCTCTATCACTGCAGTGTTGCCAGATTTTGTCCAGTTTCTATCCTACTGCGGGGAGACAATTGCAGCCAGTACGATCTCCGTTTCCGACACAAAAACAACGTCGGCAGCTTCTGTTGGGAGGTCTGCCACTTTATCATGGAAGAACTACAGTGTTACTGCTTCAGGGAGTCAACGAATTACAGCTGAAGCTCGCCCGTCTCTTTCAGCATCTTCATATAGGGTTTCGACGACCAGTGAAATCGCTCCATTCCAACCATTTCATGGACAAGCAAGCCACCATAACCCTTTGAAGAATAGTGCTTGGCAGCTCACCGCTTTACTGTTTCTGTTTTCGTGCTTGTTTTATTCCTAAGGACAGAAGTCTATTTCAACTAGACGATTCCTTCTTTGAGAAAGCGTATCGATGACCAGGTAGCATGTGCGAGAACTTCAGAAAGTGCTTGGATTTAAGGTGCTTGAATGCTTGAAGGGTATCACGTCCCCAGATGCCGGGTACCTTCGATTTTACCTCTCGTCAACCATTTCAAGATTGGCTTGTCACGGAAACATCTGGCAACCAACTATCTACCGGGTAGTAAAAAGAGCCTCGGCACCGCATCTGTTCTTCGGTTTCGTCTCATGCACTATAGCAGTCATCGAATCTTATAGTCGGCAGGTCGCCCTTTTGCCATCTCTGCTCGTCTGCTTGGGTTTGTGATAGACCCTATGAAGCTAAACACAAGTCGCAGAAGGCTCTTGATAAATACCAAAGAATATCTGAATATGATTGCACTGTCGATTTGTCACTGTCACTCCATACATAAGCCCTAGATACTGCAGCATAGCGACATTGCCAAAGATTGCTATCTTAACTACTCTGTATGCTTTTATGCATGAAGATTTGTATAGGGACTTGTAGGATCTTGCCAGCGTGAGGATTTGTATGGGAATTTGGCATATACCGAAGGCATGAGGTGGACCGGATAAGTTGGCTCTATATAGTTCTTCAAACTCATATATGGACTCATGTTGGAGCTCATATTTAAGTATATATTGAGCAGTTACCGTATAGATTAAATAAAGGTTGTGACACGTGCTTGTTGGATGCTTACATATATTTTTGATGAAAGATCCCTGCGGCCGGCTCGCCAGCTGGTAAGCTCATATAGTCCAGCCTTGGTCTGAGTAAATGTATGACATACATTATACACAGGTAACTAAAGAGGTGCGAAGTCTGACTCCGCCACCTCCTCGTGGTGCAGCCTGGTAACATCACTCAAGTGGTGGTGGCTAAGAGCAGAGCGGCGATCACAGGCTTCTTGTGAGGCTAATATCACCTACACGAATACAGCGGTGACCTGGAAGTCGATCGAATGTTCTCTGCCAGATACGGGAGAGCTCATCTACTACGAACAGATGCTGCCGCCTTCTATCGTCCTCTCTACGTCCAATCGCACGGCCTTCATGTCCTCCTTCGATAGTTCACGGGCCAATGACCCCCTACCCCTTACGAGCAACAACGACAGCACGCATCTCCATTAGCGAGGCGCTGACCACATAGCTCTCCGGAGCACACTAGGAGAGATACCACTGTCGCTGCTCCGACTATCTGTACTTGTGGAGGTATTTTCCCTCTTTTTATTACGGGGTTTTGGGTCGTTTCCTTCCATACCATCAAAATCCTATATAAGTGATTGGTAGTAGTTATCGGATTGCCAGATTCATTCCAGGCCAATCCTAAGACTCTAAACTGCATCATAACTCCGCAACCCCGTATTGTACAGACTTTTGATAGCCATCTCCATCAATTTTAAGAATCTTTCTTTCGATATTGTGACGTCCTTGAGATCCCGGTCACGTTTAACCGGATCAATATCTACCTCAGCACCATGAGCACTATAATATATATGCCCTCGGAGCCGAGCAAGATGTTGAAACATATTAAAATTGCAGGAGCTTGGCAGAATTTCAACCACGACAGATTTTGGCTTCAAAAACATAGCGTGAGGCAATCCCGCTCCATGAACACCCACTAGGATATCGGTTTTCTGAAGGATGCAAATCTGCTCTTTGAATGGAATGCTTGCGAAGTCTACATTCTGGACCCTAATATGCGGGAATCTCTCCTGAACTTCCCTCAAATATTCCTCTTGATCAATCAGTCTCCGCTTTTGCCGTCGATCAATATACGTAACCAGAATGGTGGAACTATCCTGCGCCGCCTGAACATCAAAAATGTTTTCTATCACTTCAATTCCAGCCTGATAGAAATCAACTATTCGACGAGAAAATACTTCCAATAAGTCCGACTACTGACACGAATGGCTTCCCCAGTCTCCCTGCCACAGGGGGTTGCTGGATCCTGCAAGGGCGATAATTATATTTGTAGGAGTGATTGTACTCCAGTCGGTAATTTCATGTATTCTTTTTATAGGTTTTTTGGAAAACAGCCCCCAAAGATCAAAATATGGGCCATCATCTTGGCTGTCCAGGATAATCACTTGCGTGTTTTCGAAGCCGTCTTCACTGAATAAACGGGAACCAGTACCGTCTGTTGTCATCCGAAGGATATCAATGGTTAGAATCTCGAAAATATCTCTACTAGCGAATGCCATGTGTTGGTCGATCCTTCTCGCTTGACAAGAATAGTATAGGTCTGTCTTTGCTGTGTTGTAAAGTGGTACTCAGCATTAAAGCGAATAAATGATTCAAATATCACACGAGGGTCCGTATGATACCAATATATGGGGAACTGCGTAAACTGCGGGATTCCCTGGGCTACCTCGTCTTCATTGAGATCCCTAAGACTGCAATTAAGGTGAAATTTCTTTGAATCCAAATTGAAGGCTGCTGATCTCCCGATACAAAATGAATCTACCATCTCCCTGTTAGGATGAGTCTGACTGTGAAAGCAAATCACTCCTGATGTTGATCCCGATGAACAGTATTCTGTAGCTGTGCTTTGAAAATTCTCTAGGTAGTGGTGTGTATAGCGATCCGCACAATATGATGATGGCGCCTCTATGTAGCGATATTCAGACAAGAAACTGGCATCATGTATTTCCTTGACAATTAGTTGCTCATATCCGATGGGCCTGTTAAACTGCCTATAATATGTAAGTAACCGAATGGTGATGATAGCAGCTATAGCTGTAAGTGATAATAATCGCAGCTGTCTGATACGGATTCTAATAACTATTGTTCCTACTCAACGGCCAAAGACCGCGGTATAGTTGCTCCAGTCACAGACGGTCGGATGTGGTAAGTGGAAAAGCATCAATGATCTCGCAAAAAAAGAGCGCACGATATATAGGGAATTCATAATGGCTCGCACCTCGCTCATAAAGCACTCACTAAGTTTACTAATGCCAAGGCCTGCCGGTCTTTCGGGGATCGGCTTTGTGGCTGGCAGATTCTCTCAGAGACGCTAGTTATCACAGAGATATATGCAATCCATGAAGGGACACTTCTAACAAAGAATCATGGCCATTATCATGGGTGGAAACTCGGATTCGACGGGTGTTGGAGATGGGATCCCAAGGAAAGAAAGTCTACTCATTCCATCTCCTATCTGGACCACCCCAAGAGACCACTTGGCTAAATCCATCGCTTCCTTCCAGTCATTTACAGTATTCTAAAAGTTTATTTGCGCTCTAGCGGTCTGAGTCAAGGATGAAAATGTTTAACTGCGAGGTTATCGAGCATGCCGCTTGCTTCTAGGAACCGATATAGCTCTTGTAGAGCGAGTCCATCAAGGATCCTTACAGGATGAGGCGCTATGGCAAGCTCTCAATAGATAACGGCTTTGTCGGTGTGGTAAATGCTCAGTTTATTGCATCCGATACATTCGATATGCACCATATCTTTATACATAGTAAATTACAGAATATATGTATGGGGATCTTTGGTGCTGGTGTTTATACACTACGTAATACATCTCAATAGCAAGCAAATATGCCACTTGAGTATTCCAAATGTTTGCCTTTCCCTTGGGACCGCTTCTTAGGTTTCGAAGGAAATCAACTTAGAGAGAGAGCCCAATTTGTTTTCCTACATGTCATTAATATGATTCGCTGTCAGGTGTCGCAAATGTAATAACTTGCCAATATGGTTTCTCTAGTTCTGGTGGAATGTACCCAGGCAGTTTACTTGTCATGCTTGAGCAGGATCTAGATAGTGGCATCGAGCCATGGCATATGCATTTTCTCAACGAGCTCGATGTTCCCGTAAGGCCATCGATGACATGTTATTTTTATACCTACTCTAATAGCCTTTCTCCTTAGGAGTATAGATAGTTTTGGTCTTGCTAGAAAATCCGTTGAAATTCGTTGCCGTAGCAGATGTATAAGCTGGTTTTCCAGTCAGCATACCACGCAGAAGACTTTGGGTGAAATATATCATTACCCCCCATATTCCTATATACCAACCAATCGTTAATCCTCACCTCGCACGCAAAACTCGCCTTGCGACTGACACAGTCAGTGCTATCACAAGTAGGACCCCAGATCGTATAGGCGTGATATTCAGACTTGCGAGGTAGATGGCCCTTGGTTATTATCAAGGAGGGAGCGAAATCCTCTCTTTCGATAAGGGCGTTCATGAAATTTCCGTACACGCCATCATTTTGGTATAGCATGTCCACTCTTTGGGGCGATTCGGTTGCTTTTGATTTTCGGCATGATATGATTCGACAAACTAAAGTAAATACACTGCGCGCAAAGAAACGACCAGGTTCTGCCATGAAGATCGTTTGCCCTGGAAATGATGCTTCTGATATAGCACTTTGTATAGCTGTGGCCATGGGAGTAAATTCTGCTTCAGTAGGTTGGAACCCGCCTCCAATGTCGAGAATCTGTAAAAAAAACCCCATAGACCGTGCACTATCCCAGACTTGTCTGGAATGAGCGATTGCCTTTTGAAAGGCGCTGGGATCCGAAGCACCAGATCCTTCACAAATATTTAGCGCTGAGGAGTCAAATATCTCATATTTAGCCTAATCAGGCCTACTTACCGATGTGGAAGCTGATACCCACAACATTCAAATTCAGATCTTTCGCACGCATGAGAAGGTCTTGAATTGAATCGGGTAGCGCCCCAAATTTCTCGCCTAACGCAACGAGGGCGTTACTGTCATTTGCAAATATCCTGAGTAGTAGTCTGGCGTCGGGCATGTAGTTCTTGATAGTGTCAAGCTCGTCAAGATTGTCAAATGTAGTCATTTTTATGCCTGCCCCATGAGCAAAAGCTAGGGCATGTGGCGTCTTGCAGGGGTTTGCAAAGATAATGCTAGTAGAAGGAGCACCTAGGCGCAATACTGTCTGCATCTCCTCCACGGATGCACAGTCAAAGCCAACACCGAGTTCCTTAAGTACTTGTAACAGTTCTACGTCGGGATTGCATTTGACAGCTAGTCGAAAAGATCAGCAAAGGTGGGTATAGAGAGGATTAAGATTTATCTTACCAAAGAATGGCATTATATTAGGAAGATGAGACATCCAACGGCTGTGCTGGCGCCGGATTTCCCCCAAGTCTGCAACAAAGAAGGAAGCGTCGGGCTGACTCGTCCGTGGATACTGTTCAATCTGGGCAATTTGTCCGTATATAGCATCCTCTACCTGCCCTCCTGTTGATTGGAAAGGCCCTCTGCAAGTATCGATAGGTAGATTGGAGAAAGTCGAACATAATGGATCAACTCTGCTGAAAGCCAGCAGATTCCGAGAATCAACCGACATCTTGAAGAAAACTAAACAAGATTGCTCTAGGTATAAATATTAGCCCTTAAATTCCAAGGCCATATAAGAATAGTTTTTGTAAGAAGTATACTCCGATAGACGTAAATGCCTGCCCAGCAGTAACTTATATGTCTTCATTACAAAATATGCTTAGCTAAGGGAATCGTTGTATTGTCTTATTTACTAAACTTTCTTTGTGGGATTATAGTATCTGCAATTTTAAAACACTAAAAAAACCATGTACTTGTACAGTATTCGATTAAAATATTGTTGTAGGATGATTTGTAAGAACGTGACTATGATTTGACTAACGAAGTGTAGCTATTCGGTACCTCCTAGAATCTATCTTTGAATTCTATGTAAAACGCGAGCTATCTTCTCTCGCTTCGTTCGAGAGACAAAGGCGTTGATAGATATGAATATGTAGAGGCTTGGGAGGTAGCGAGTGCTCCCGCCAATGCTCTCAATTCAGGAAAAAAGACCTGCTGTGTAGGACCCCAACGAACGATAGACACTTTCACGCGGTGTTGGGGATTAGTACCTGCTAAGATATGCCTAAAATCGAGCACACAGTCTCATTCACATAAACTAGGGAGTCCGCGGGGGGAATGGATCGCACTTGCCAATCCCTCAATCGATTACTTCTAGAGAGAACTGGATATATTGATCAAAAGCTTTTGTAAATCTGAGTGGGTCACGTAATTGTATGTATTGTGTACAGCGAGAATACTCAGTGCTATAGGTGCCGAAGTCGTTATCGAGAATGTCCTAGAGGACGCTTATGATCGTAATCTAATGAGCCACCTCGTAAGAAGACTGCAAAGTCTGGGCTGGAAGCAACAACACCACCTCTCTGTACTGCCTGTAGCGGTAGGCATTTCTCTTTAGGATGCTTTTATATTCTTCAGTATCTCAATCTAAGGGTACCAGGAAAGTAAAGTCTGTGCTCGACTGTAATTGACCGTAAAATAACATGATATCCGTTGAAATTCGCATACAGCCTAGAAAAGGTCAAGCCAAGTACGTTCAACCTCAGGCGCTCCGGCTTGATACCTTACCCCACCCCGAATGATCACGAGACCCGTGCACCCTGTCGGAACTAAAACGTAATACCATTTCACCAAAAAAGACGCCCTTAAAGGGAATTTGGTATTTTTGAGGTATTTGCGAACCGTTCCGTAGTTCAACTTCTGTATTTTGCTAGTCACGTGATTTTATTTCCATGTTGGAGCTCGGTATTGCGTTCCAACATTCCAACACACCCTATGATGGTAGTTAAATCTTCATAAATCAAGTATTGCTCCCTAATTAGAATCAAACCTGCTTCTCTGTCCCTCAAGATCGATAAGCAACATCCTTCCCTCATTGCTGTACAATGCAACAACTCAGTCGTCCCTTGCATCGCCAAAACTTCGAGATAGCCCTCATTTATGCCCTACCCGTAGAACGTGAGGCAGTCGAAGCTCTCTTAGATGTTAAATATGAAACCCACAGCCTGTCTTCCGGAAAATCCCCCGGCGATCTCACCGCGTACATTACAGGAAGAATTAGTGGCTATCATATTGTGTTAGCATACTTACCACACCCGGGAAAGGCGATAGCCGCAGGCGCAGCATCTTACCTTCGGAGTCACTTTGAAGGGATTAAGATCTGTATTGTGATTGGGGTTTGGGGAGGTGTGCCGAAAACAACTGATGGAGTCGAAATATTTTTGGGCGATGTTATCATTAGCAAGATGGTGATTGAGTACGACTATGTCTGACTTTATCCTAATAAGGCCTAAAGAAGAGACGCCCCTGAAGATAATCTTGGTAATCGAAATCTCGAGATCACGTCATTTTTGAGAAATCTTTCGTGCCAGCCAGCTCTTCAAAGATTACAACACAAGACTTTGTCTTATTCCAAAGAACTCTTGGAACAACTTAGATCCCCTGAATTTGCATGGCCAGGTGCAGATGAGGATAAATTTTCCCCATCCAACTATCGGCATAAACATCAGGACCCAAATGTGTGTACTACATGTGCTAGATGCTACCACCTGGAGGATAGCGTCTGTGACGCTGCATCGAAACTATCGTGTATAGCACTCGGCTGTGACGATATGCTATTGGAACGCCGCGGCTGGCGTAACAGGTCAAAGTGGTGTTAAATGACGACGATGGAATCATGTATACCAAAGGTTCTAACGATGTACGAAGCTGCCCTATACACTTGGGTTGTGTTACGGGCTAGTCCCGTCTAATGCTCACTATAAGGGCATATTCGAATAGAAAACGTAACATGAGGAAAGGAAAGAGAAAGAAAAAAAAAGTTTTTCACGCGCATACAATCTTATATAGGCAAGGGGAATTGGAAGCTTCCGATGGGCTTCTCTCTAGGAATAGCCTCATGTCCGGGGTTGCTGAGATTGTCGGGGCTGCCGGGATCGGCAGAGCGCTATTGTCAATATCCGGCCGGATATTGGGCGTCCGTTCGTAATCTGGGAATAGCTTCATGTTCGCGGTTGCCGAACAATAATCTAGCGAAACTCTATATGTCAATATCCGTGAGGGCTTCGCCCAAACATGGTCATGAGGTCAGCTCATAACAGGTTTTTTTGCATCAGGAGACGGGATCGTCAGGTGTCGACAGTTCCGGGATAACCTCTCAGTTACTGACAAAGTGATCGCTTTCGAGATGGAGGGCGCTGGAGTATGGCAATACCTCCCTACTATTATTGTCAAGGGCGTAAGCGATTACGCGGACAGTCATAAAAGCAAAGACTAGCAGGGGTATTCAGCTATTACTGCCGCAGCTTCTACTAAGGTGATCATAGAGGAATGGAGCATGCAAAGGCCGTTGAAGGCATTGATCCCATTCAGTCTTTCTGACGGAGCATATCACATAGACCCCGGAGCCGGTATGCTATGCTTCAAAGAGAAAGCTACTATGTTTTCTGACTGTATTATAGGAATCGCAACGTCAGCAGGATTTGAGTGTCAGGTCGATACTATGTGCTTTGGAATAAGAAATACTACACAACACAGACTGAAGGAGGTAATACCTCGGGGGCAGAAGATACAAAAAAAAAGTTTGAAGAGCTGGAAGCTGCCTTGAAGACTGTTCCTACTCAAGCTGCTATTGAGCCCGAAATTGCTCTACCTGAGTCCGCTCTAGCACAGCAGGACTTTTGTCGGGTGAGTCATATCAATCATCGAGCAATCTCTCAATTAACAAATCTGTCTATAGGTGGTCCGGACTCAACTTCGATTATACTCAGCGTCACGCGAAGGATTCCAACGTACTGCGCTTGCACTTGCAGCTGTCATCAAAACAAACAAATCCGACCCCGAATTATCTTGGCTCACTCTTAGGCTCGGTGCTTCTGAGCTACACAGGAACAAGTAACATAATTCCTCCATGTAACCAACCTACATGTCGAGTTCGTGATCACAAGTTCCACTTGAAAATTAATTATTGGTGCCCTGGGTGGCTTCTCTCACGAATGATGTCAGTCCTCCTCACATACAGTCGTCGGGATGGTCCGATGTGGCAGATACGAATGCCGCGAGGAAGACAAAATTCGTCACTCATTTTTCAACATATGCTACGAGGGGACATCAAGGCTATCCAATCGCTCTTTTCACGAGGACTGGCTTCCCCATTGATGTCAACGAAAATGGGAAACCTCTACTGAGTGTGGGTACAAATTGTGAAGATAATATGCCAAGATACTGACTGTCGAGATCTGCAGTTCGCATTTCATTTCGGAGACAATAAACTGGCGACTCTTAACATGTGCCAGCTATTGATCAACGAAGGTGCTGACCCTTATGAAGTTAGCAGTGATGGAAAGTGAGTAAGCAATCCTTTCTGGGCGGCAGGGAGTTTTCAATGTGGAAGGATTCTGCGCACTTTTCCCATTTCCCTTTTCCACCCTTCTACTTTGAACCCTAGGTTCTAATTAAGCTTCACTCGCGCTTATACTAGCAAGCAAGTCTCTTCCATCATTCGAATCTGCTTGGAGTGTGATCCTTGGAAGTTCATTCGATGATCCGATTGCCCAATCCTTGATGCATCTTTTTAGCGATGAAGATGATTATTTTCAATTCTCAATTTTGCATCAAACAGTGCTAGGGATAAGGAGCGGCAGTCTCCAAACTGCCATTCGGAACTCTGATAACATAGATATCACAGATTCCCGTGGGAAAACAGCGTTGAGCTGGGCAGCACAAAGAAGCGATGTAGCCGCTGTCAACGCCCTTTTAGCAGCACACGCCAATCCGGATCATCACGGCTTTGCTAACAGCGCCATGTATACACCTTTGCGCCGTGCCGCACAGGCACTTGAGGTTGATCCTTTACTCATAAAGTCATTACCTGTATGGTGCAAATAGTAATGCTCAAGATACATATGGACGTACCCCACTAATCATAGCAGCCTCTGTTAACAATATACCATAGTACGGGCAGTCAATGCACTAATATTCAATCGTGCAGATCTGAATATTCAGGATCGAAAAGGGCAAACTGCATTAATGCACGCAACGTTCTATCATTCATACGGATTTACTGTTGAAGGCGCGGTCAGACTGTTTGTTTCAGAGTGTGGATGCTTGGAGAATTCTGGAGTATGTGGACAGTGGCGTACCGCTGTGACAGACAAATTCTGATTATATTGATGAATTTCTGTGAACTCTTACGTGCTACATTTACGAGATTCGACGCCAATATTCAACATGAAGACATCGAATACTGGCGTGAATATTATAAGGTGGAATCTCCAACAGCTGAATGGTGGGCGACATGGGATAATCTTTAAGAGGCATTGGGGAATATAGACCATCTATCAGGATTATAGAGACGTGAATAATATCTACTAGGATCATGAAAAGGAGTGATAATGCACTAAATGCAATAATACATCCTTCACTCATATTCGAAGCGTGTATTCCCTGAAAGTTTCCTTCTAGATGAAGAAGGATGATCTATGTTATTTTCCAGGAGGATTTTGGGGGATACCTATGTGTAACATAGCATAGGTGTTACGGATCTATTTATACAGGGTAGAACGCCTGTTGATCAGGTAAGGCATGAGAGCTAGAAATAGAGGGTAGGATTAAACTGTAGATCGGGTTGGCACATGAACTGATCCTCGAAGAAGGAAACTAGGTTTGGGACATGTGCGATTCCTTTATCCTCTTCCTTCTGCTTAAGCGAGGGCTTAGTGTCCTAGCTGCAGGAATCATGCATCTGATCTATCACGCACTTCCTGTTGTATGGGCCACGATTGGAAAATCCCTGACTGTCACTTCCCCGTCGCTTCAAGGTAGAGATGAGAAAATCATGAAGATTCAGACCCTTGACGAAGCCATCGGCAATCCCTTTCACATGATGAATAACCTGCTTGAGAGATTCGGTGACCACCACTCGCTACTTCGAGTTCTAGAGCAAGAATTTAAGGGATATTCTAGGGCGCTACGAGCCAGATTCCACTACGATGCTACCCAGATCTGCATCTCGCAAAGATTTGGTGAGGGAGCTCCTGCTAAGAGAGCAGCAATCGGCTGGTAACGGTATATTTCATAATTAATCGTTTCTCATGCTGTATTTATAATACCAGCTCTACCACATGTCACTGATATATTATTGGAAAGAATCAGGTAGGGTGCGTAAATAACGTATAAAGCAATTTTCAGCACCCTTCAACCTCATCTCAATTCCATATAGAACTGTGCTTCTTAGAGCATTCGTTACAGTATGCCACCCAATCTCAAAGCTCTTCCCAATGAGCTTATCATGCTTATTCTTGAGCACCTTCTTCCAGATTTAACCGCTCTATCTGCAGCAATTCAAAGTTGTAGATATATATATAACGTATATATAGCTTTGTTGCGGCGAACGCGGAACTCAATAGTCCGCTTACAAATTGATATCGTGCAGAGAACTGGCACTGCCCTTTATGATACTCTGAAAACCATTCGTCCAGCTTCTCTACCAGTCCGCGACATCCGCAATCAAGCCAGATTATTGGCAAACACCATATCCTCACTTCAGATTGCAACAGAGGATTATGAAGAGGAACTTCAAATACTTCAACTACCACTACAGCAATACTTCGTGATTTGTCGGTCCTTGAATAAGATACTTGGGAAGTCCGACCAGAGACTATCTCCACCATTTCTTCATGGATGCGCGAACCTTATATCCAGTTACAAAACTCCGTTTAGAATCTTTTTGGGAAAAGTTAAACTGTACGCGTTCACTTATAAGTCATCCAAAAATTACTGAATGCTGTCAGTTAATGACCTTTATTTAGTTCCAAAGTTTCTATCACTAGTGAAGACCTCGAGCAATATTACAATATAACTCTGAACGCCATCACAGACCTAGAATTCGATATACAGTCAATCGATGACAGGCTTCTACAAAATATTACATCTGATACGTTCCTACCACAGAAGGAGGGTTGTTTTGAAAGCCTTGCAGCACTTAAATTTCTAGTTGAGGAACAGTTTCAGCTTAGCGCCGATTCGTACAGGAGATGTATCCAACAACGTCTCCGTATCTGTGAAGAATCTCTCAAGATTATTTACGACGTCCAGGTTGAGGAGGGCAAATCCAACCCCAATGAATTTCTTCCTGAAGAATTGAGTGAAGAAAGATTAGTTCTGCGTCATATAAATGGTGTGTGACGATCGAAGTTACCTGGAGTAGGGGCATACAACGAAGACTGTTCCCAGATTTCTGCTTGAATGACAATTTCGTTGTTTTCAAGGCAATATATGCCCTAAAGGAGTCTAGCCCTACTATAGTAGTTTAAAGTTGTGTGGGACACAATCTTCTTATACTAGTGATATGAATGACCATAATGTCAGACTTATGAAAAAACAAAGACAACCAGAATGTTTTTCACAGCTTACTAGGCTACCAGGCACCCATACACTAGTGGGCTTGACTGGTTTGCATAGAAGGTTCCAGTAACCATCAACTCAGTTTGTTTCTACAATGTATTGTAGTTTCAAGTGACATCTGTTATTTTACAGTAAATTACAGTTAGATGGAACTTTGGGAATATTGTTAATCCGGCACTTTGCCTGATCAAGTTTTGGGTGAAACATGGTCAAACAATTGAAGTTAGTAACACAGTGCACTGTTTTTACAAACGATTATACAGTGCTCAGAATGGGCTCATCTTTCATTCGGATATTATTACTTCCTTTTTTATGCGATCATGACACTTCTAGTACTGTAGCACAACTATATGGTAACTGGACTGTTTGGCTTTCTCTTGAAGACATTATATGGCTTAAGAGCTTCAGCCTTTCACTAATCAATTCCGAACTGAAAGAGTAAATGTAGTGCAGGATTTTCACTAAAATCCATCTCAGATATGTACAAAAGAGATTTCAGATTTCAGATTATATAATATTAAACACGGCCAAAGAACTATCATTAAATTCTTTATAGTTCTTTTGGCTCAAGTAGGCCTGTAGTGCTTCGTTCAGAAAATCCATGCCATAGTATTGTTTGGCTACACGTCCTGTTTGTGTCCATGTAGGTGGCTGGTTTCCAGTAAGAAGATCCAGTATGATATCCAAGCCAGATGCACACTTATCGCTTACCCAGTGTGTTAGTAGCTGGAGATCATTACCCCGACAACTACCCTTAGTAGTTTCTTTAATATGGCGAAACAACAAGAACCGGAGCCATTGCCATATATTATGCATGTCCATGACGGCCTCCCTGTCCAATGCGTCGTTTCCCATCACAAATTCGACGATAGTCGTTCCGTTACTTTGACAAGAACCAAGCCACTGAACTCGGCGGGGTAAATCCTTTTCATTTTTGCTTCTGTAGCCAAAATGTCGACAGAAAAACCAGATTCTCCAAAAAGCCATATCTATTTGTGCTGCCCGAAGACCATTTTGCCTTTGTAAATCCACTTTAAATTTTTTGCGAGAGGAGATTTTCGGCCCCCGTTCACCGTCGATGCGACTCATCTCGAGTATAATCAGATTCTTCAAGGCAAGTATAACATCTGTGGTATTTAGATACATAATACTACTACTATGATGTATATCTAAGACCTCTACTAGCAGGGTAGACCACAGGTCTGGGATTTTATACATATATCCAAATTACACAATCGGTGTAAAAATAGTTAACGCAATCGGTAAGCGAAGGGGCATTGTAAGCGAAGGGGCATTTTTTCCCGAACGCGTACACAATCTTGATTCTATATTATTTAACACGTCAACATGCCACCAATTCTCAATAAAAACAAAAAGGACTTAGCTGAGCAAGAGGGCCGAATCTTATTAGCTATTTCCGATTTAAAAAACGAACGAATCTTGCGCGTGGCTCAAGCTGCAAGGATTTATAAGATACCCCGGACTACTCTACAGAAGAGATTAAGCGGTACTCAACAGAGATCTCAAATACGCGCCAACAGTCATAAATTGACTCAATTTGAGGAGGAATCACTTGTCAAATGGATACTCGACCTGGATAAACGTGGATTACCTCCTCGGCACTCTCTTGTACGAGAGATGGCCAATTGTCTTCTCTCTCAATATGGAAATCAATAGGTTGGAGAAAAATGGGTATATAACCTTGTCAAACGTCGTCTAGAGATTGAATCAAAATTCTCGCGGAAATACGACTATGAACGTGCTAAATGCGAAGATCCGAAGATAATCTAAGAATATTTTGATCGCGTACGAAAGGTTATATTGGAATATGGAATCCTGCCAGAGGATATCTATAATTTTGATGAGACTGGCTTTGCTATGGGACTTTGTGCAACTGCGAAGGTTATTACTGGAAGTGATCGATATACTTGGCCAAAGCTATTACAACCTGGTGATCGAGAATGGGTAACTGCAATTGAGGCAGTTAACTCAACAGGATGGGCTTTACCTTCATATATTATCTTCAAGGCAAAGAAATATATGTGGTTAGGCTGGTTTGAGGATCTTCCAGCTAACTAGATAATCAATATCAGTGATAATGGATGGACAACAGATAAGATTGGATTAGAATGGCTTAAACTCCATTTTATTCCTCTTACAAATGACCGGTCAATTGGAAAGTATCGGATGCTAATTCTTGATGGCCATGGAAGTCATCTAACAGCTGAATTTGACCGCATATGCACTGAGAATAATATTATTGCAGTGTATATGCCTCCTCATTCTTAACATCTCTTACAGCCTCTTGATATGGGCTGTTTTGCTGTTTTAAAGCGACATTATGGACAGCTTATTGAGAAGCGGATGACCGGGATGAGGCTTAGGTTCAATTATATTGACAAATTCGACTTTTTCACTGCATTTCCAAAGGCTCATACAATGGCATATAAAGCTCAAAATATTCGGAATAGCTTTGCAGCTACTGGATTAGTACTATTTAATCTAGATCGAGTCTATCAACAGCTTACTATCCAATTGAAGACCCCAACACCTCCTCCAAGTCGATCAAGCGATACACAGTCATCTTGCTTACAAACACCTCAGAATGCACGTCAACTCAAGTGTTAAATGACTACAATTGGAAAACAAATAAGCCAGCATACAGAAAATTCATCTAAGGTTTTTTATAAAGTAATTACGTAGGCATCAAAGGCTTATGAAACAACCATGAATGATCTCTTACTCGCACGGAAAGAAAATCATGATTTACGGACTGCACATGAAAAAGAGAAACAGAAACGCCAGAAATCTAAGAAGCAATTATCTAATGAGCAAGGAATTAGTACGGAGGAGGCTCAGGTGCTTATACAAGATCAGATTGAGGCATCTCAAGCTGTTACTACTGTTCCGGCCGAGCCTGAGCTTCCAGTCTCTCATCCACCTGTACGGCGTCAATTTCGCTGCAGTGGCTGTGGCATTGAAGGACATAAAATAACTACGTGTCCTAATCGTACTAGTAATTAATTTTTTGTATATAATTTGTATGTGGGCTAGAAATTGAGATTTGGATTCAAGATTGTGTACGCGTTCAGGAGAAAATGCCCCTTCGCTTACCGATTACGTTAGACGTAATCAGTATACTGACTTATATATTTTTTCAAACTCATTGATTAATTACTTAACATAGCCATTCAATTGCGTGAATGCTTAAAGTAGTGTACGCATATGACTTTGTCGAGATACCGAGATGATGAACAATGATCATTTGTATGGAATACATGGGTGCCAGCTCGCTTGTATGGCCAACTTGCCTGTTGATTACGTCTAACTACCTGTTTCCCATGGATTCCGGACCTGCAGAAAATAATCCATACATGTGGATCTAGCCCATTGAAAAATTAGAATCTCTCTTTGGGATTTACATCCGTCTAATTACAATAGCACTGGACGGATAGCTCCTCTTAGAAAACGATTTGACTGAATAATTGTTGTCTGACGATGATACGACTGTGGCGACAAAAATGGAATCCCGTAGGCAAGTGGTAGCGATGTAATGTAGGTAATGAGGTTATTGTCATAGACCAAGCTTATGAAGACGGCGAACCCGTTCGAGGCCGGCCGAAAGGAAGCCAAGGTGCAATGATAGTCATTAAGACTAGTTAACAAGCAGCCTACTGTGGAGATGAAGAAGCACGAGCTAGATCACGAGCTCATCACGACCACCTACATGATATACAAGGCAAAGAGGGGAGCTGTTCGAATTAAGCTACGGTAAGCTTTTCTCGTTCGTGTGAATTTTGAAACCGCTGCTACATAACCTTAAGGTGATATCCGAATTATTACGAATTGCGAGATATCAATGCAAGTACGTCGTACGTACTGGGATTGTCTGTCTTTCGAATTATTCTTGTTGGTTTAGCTACGTCCCGTATCACGAAGCGTAGGATATCGTAAGCTAGGGCGATCCAACTGCCCTACGTGGTGAGCCTTGCTATATAGCACGAAATGTAATATTGAAAGACTGACCCCCGAAACTAGGGGGGGGGCGGGGTGCCTAGATACATTATATGGTGTTGGTCGTTCTAGCGCACGGAGAATAGTAATCCCGACCAGTTCGCGTACGAATTGACGGCGTGCTACTGTCGGATTGGTCGGTTTATTCCAGGCCAATCCTGAAGAGGGTTTTACTAGGATCAAAGAAAAAAAATGACTAGCAAGATTGTATGTATTGAGTTCTGTGTCTGTCTTTCAAGTCTTTAAAGCCGGGTCCTTTATAGACACCTTTGGCGGGGTGATTTGTGAGCTATCAGGAGGGGTAAATATTGGGCTGAAATCTAGGTGCCCAGATATATGCCTAAAGGTGCCTTTTAGACCTGTAAGATTGAACAGTCGATCTTTCTGCCTCGTTTGAAAGCCGGATTATCTGACAGCTACAGCGCCGTATAGTGATTCGTAAGATCGCTATTCAAACAATTCTGTTAATGTCGAACACTCGTGGGTTTGTACTAAACATATCACTGGGACCCTTGAGACAAGTCATATACGTGTTACAAAAGTCTGATTCATTTATCGAAATCTCATTCATCTTCATTGATCAAAATAGCCGTAACTTTGTGGGTTTGTTCTATTACCATAATGCAAGTAGCCTTTGGACTCGAGTCCTTACTTAGTATCACGAATCTTGGAACTGATCCATACCCTATTGCCTCCTAGGTGCCAAAATTGAAGCGACTCAAACTGCGAATCTTAGCCCCATAAAAATAAAATAGAATGGGAATAGGAATCATGGCAACAGTCAAGAATGCCAAGAGACTAGTTGCCCAAGGCACGCCAAGTTTCTTGTACATCTGCATAGCAAAAAGCGGGAAACTACCTCCCAGAAGACTTCGGAACAAAGTGGTGGCCGCAATCGCGGAATTGGCAAAAGTCAAGTACACATCAACCACATAGTTCAATCCCTGCATGAAAATAATGAGAATACCAGCACCGATAGGTATGCCAGCTAACGCTTGTGCCACCCAGTTAATGTTCTTGTCGGATGTCCAACCGAACCAGAAGAGACCAATAGGTAGAAGAACTGAGCCAAGGAACATAGGAATGAGACGTTCTTCGGGAATCAGGCGTCCGTTTTTTTGCAACTTACGGGCAAACCTCGTTTTGGTCAGGAAAATGATATAAATGCATCCAAGCAGAACTCCGATTAGGACAGCTAAAAATGGTAGGGCTGCAACTCCGGCGCTCTTCCAACCACGGATTTCTTGGAATGAGTACGGATAGGATTCAAAGAGCAGGTACAGAATTCCATATATCACGGCAAGATAAAGGGTGATGCAGAGTAAAATGGGCTCTAAGAAAAGCATCTGAAACGGGCGCTTGACGTATCGAACAAGCATGTCTCCAGCCCCGGGATGGGTTTCGTCCATTCTACTATGGTATGCCCAATTCCCTGTTTTTAACCGTAGACGAGCCGCCCGTCTTTGAAGAATGACGGGCTGGTATGTCTCGGGAACAATAGGCAAGGCAATGATCATAAATAACCCAGCGGCAATTAAGTTAATCCAAGCTGTCCACCGCCATCCCAGCCGAGATTGGACAATAAAGCCACCGCTATAACGAGTTAACAACTGTTAGTAAATGATTGGGAACATTGTGAGAGGAATAAAGAAAGTTACGTGCAGAATTGGGCCCAAAGTAGGGCCACCGAATGTTCCTCCAGCGAATAAAGCCATTGCTACTCCTCGATCGACAGGATTCCAAATATCAGCTAGCACGCCTCCGACAATAGCTGAGGGAGCACAGCCGAAGAATCCGATTAAAAACCGAGCAAGCATAATTGTCTCCACGTTCTGAGCAGCAGCAACTGGAATTTGGAAGATGATGAAGACAAAATAGCCAAGGAAAAACGGTCCTTTTCTGCCAAATAGCTCGGAAACCGGGCCCCACAGTAGCGGACCAAGTGCAAATCCCTGATCGTAAAGATTGAGAATAAGACACAGCACATCGGCTCAAAGGAGAAGGTTGAACGTACGAAAAGTGGCAGACTGGTTGCCAGGATTATAACCTCATCGGATACACCGAACTCCTTGGCAGTCACTCGGGTGGCCTGACTAAACACGCTAGTTGAGAATGCAACCCATACCGTAAGCGAAGATAATAGCATGGTGATCGCCCACTTCCTCGCAGTTGTGAAGTTTTGAGGATTTTCGGGGTCGTCGGGACCGTCCCATTCCACTAGGTTAAGGTCCTCGCTAGTAGCATCCTCTGTCTCGCTTGCTTTCCTCTCAGAAAAGACACCAACTTCGAGTTTTGGTCCTTCCTCTACATTCTCTGCACTCGTTAGCGAGGTTCCAGCGCTGTGGTCAAAGCTAGATTTTGCAGGCGAAGTAGACTGAGAATCGGAAAAAGACATCTCTTCTCTGGCCAAGAAAGGGGGTCAGTGTCCAGTCTGGTCGAGCTGTACACATTAGAAAGTTGCTATAGAGAGGCATCTGAGAAATCAAATGTTAGGGACTCAGGGTCTTAAAGTAGGAACGATGTAGGGCTCGTTAAAGAGTACACGAAGGCGAGTAGTTAACGTAATCGGTAATCAAATTAACCGCTTCTTCCCGAAAACGCGCTTTATTTTGATTCTACATAATTCAACACGTCAATAATCCGCCAATTCGTAATAGAGATTCGAAAGGATCAGTTGAACAAGAAGGATGAGTCTTTTTAGTACAGTATTTCCGATTTATAAAGAAATCGGTGAATGGATCGTATAGACTCAGAGGATTGATATCGTTCAGTAATAGTGATCAATGATCAGTTGCTTGTAAGTATTAATAAGGAGATGATTCGATGCGTTGAATCTCTGTGTATTACTTGTCTCTTTTTTTACATACAACTCAGGGGTTGAAGCTATAGCTAGTCTCCGAACGACTAGTGTCACGTGACCTTACGGTCAGATTCTTTACACGATTTTAAAGATGGAAGAATATGTTCTGTACAGGGTTTCTGGAAACTGGTGTCACCGCAGTATACACTCTTTTTGTCTCTGGAACCCTATTGTGAAACTAGGCTAAACTCCATCTGGTTTATGTCGGAACAATAATCTTCCCTCTATATTTCAGTATTGTACTTACGAGTAATATTACACAAGAGTAGCATGGCTGGATTGGGGTGGCAAACTTGCCCACAGCAGAATCCGGCAGAAATTGCTCGAGAATTCATAGATAAAATGGAATACTAGTAAATAATAGAGAATATAAAAGATTAAATAAAATTCAATCTACAATGTATGAAATCCTATAATAGAAACTCGCCCGTCACGATACCCAAGAGCAAGGGAGGCTTCCTTGACAGCTGAAATTGTAAATTGACGATGCTCGGGAGGGAGCCACAGTAGATTCTCGTCTCCCAATGCAACCCAGTTGTTTGATAAAGATATTTGAGAATTAATACTCCATAAATTCGGGTCACATTTATGGAGTCGTCGATTCATTCCGGATCTAGTCGCAGTATGTACTTCCGCAAGCGGAGTGAAGGCCACTGAATCAATCGAACCTGAATGGCCCCGAAGGGTCTGCAGTTCAGAGCCGGTCTTGACGTCCCAGAGCTTGACAGTGTCATCGTAAGAGCCTGAGGCTAGGGTTTGCCCATCTGGAGAGAAGGTCACTAAAAAAACCGACTCCAAATGGCCCTGAAGGGTCTGCAGTTCAGAGCTGGTCTCGACGTTCCAGAGCTTGACAGTGCCATTGCCAGAGCCTGAGGCTAAGGTTTGCCCGTCCGGAGAGAAGGCTACTGAATTAATCCAACTTGAATGGCTCCGAAGGGTCTGCAGTTCAGAGCCGGTCTTGACGTCCCAGAGCTTGATAGTATCATCCCTAGAGCCTGAGGCTAGGGTTTGCCCGTCCGGAGAGAAGGCTACTGAATTAACCCAGCCTAAATGGCCCCGAAGGGTCTGCAGTTCAAAGCCGGTCTTAACGCTCCAGAGCTTGACAGTGTCATCCTCAGAGCCTGAGGCCAGGGTTTGCCCGTCCGGAGAGAAGGCTACTGAGTCAACCCAGCCTAAATGGCCCCGAAGGGTCTGCAGTTCAGAGCCGGTCTTGATGTTCCACAGCCTGACAGTGTTATCGCCAGAGTATGAGGCTAGAGTTTGCCCGTCCGGAGAGAAGGCTACCGAATCAAGCGAACTTGAAACCCCCGAAAGGGTCTGCAGTTCAGAGCCGGTCTTGACGTCCCAGAGCTTGACAGTGTCATCGTAAGAACCTGAGGCTAGGGTTTGCCCGTCCGGAGAGAAGGCCGCTGAATAAACCGAATTTGAATGGCCCTGAAGGGTCTGCAGTTCAGAGCCGGTCTTGACGCTCCAGAGCTTGACAGTGTCATCGCCAGAGTTTGAGGCTAGGGTTTGCCCATCCGGAGAGAAGGCCACTAAATAAACGGAATTTGAATGACCCTGAAGGGTCTGCAGTTCACAGCTGGTCTTAACGTTCCAGAGCTTGACAGTGTCATCGCCAGAGCCTAAGGCTAGGGTTTGCCCGTCCAGAGAGAAGGCCGCTAAATAAACTGAATTTGAATGGCCCCGGAGGGTCTTCAGTTCAGAGGCAGTCTTAACGTTCCAGAACTTGACAGTGTCATCCTTAGAGCCTGAGGCTAGGGTTTGCCCGTCCGGAGAGAAGGCCACTAAATGAACCAGACCTGAATGGCCCTCGAGTGTTTGTAGTCCTGACCTCCATAAATTCTCCACCTGTGGTAGTATGTGCAAGTATTTAGGTATACTACCAGAAAATATCCTTCTAACAATACTTTGCATTGGTGAAAATACTAGCCCAGAACTATAAAGTTAGAGTGGAGCAATACCCGCAATGTAAGTGTTTTTAAGAATGAATTGTTTAGCATCATAGAGAAAGCCTGAAATTTCAACATCTATGCCCTTCTGTAATTATAATCTTAGTTATGTGTCGAGTATAGATGATAGAGGAACTTACCCCATCCCTAGACTGTACCGCATCTATCATTGCTACTGCTTCTGATATAACACCCATTAGACTTAGTGCCTCCAACCAGTGAAGGAAATGCTTTTTCAAAAAATCAAAAGCTAGAGACTCAACGATATGAGGTTCGCTATGGCCAAGATGGTATACCCAGTACTGGCAGGCGTATTGCAGATCCGCTGAGAGATTCTAATCAACAGCCTGGCTATCAATATCATCTCGTTGTGTCCTATAACTTGGTAAGCCACAAATATTGTGCCTGAGACTAGTGTTCCTCGTATTATTAAAAACTCGTTTCGGGATAAAGAGGGCTTCTATAGAGTCCTCAAGATTGCTTAGATATTCGGATACGTTGTAAATAAGACGGCTAACAACATTGACCGCGAAGGAGCGACTTCTCATCCTTGTGTAAAGTTACATGTACCAATGTTGAGGTTACAATTGATGGCCAAGTTTACATGGAGGAGCATGTACTGTAGCAATCCTACATCAGCTATTATCTTTTAATTCTAATACAGCGCCTTGCAAGTTCGGCTTTACATAATTTGGAACTCTTCGACTCTTTCTCGGCGCCACTCCCGCAATCTAATCCATATTAGGCTTAGTCCATGAATTCGGTAATTTACGAGCAGTATTGAGCGTAACTATACAATACCAGATGTTGCTTTCTGTACTGTAAATTCATGGCTAGGGGACCGTGCGTTAGGTATGTCGGCAGTACCATGAACATGCTATCCCTCCTCAGCCTCATGATCAGTGCTTCATATTCTTTCATCATCATAAGTAGTTCAATGACCGGGTATATGCACTTCATCTGAACCATGTCTAGCTCATAATGACCACTTTAACGCACAACGACTACACAGTCGCGTGGATATGCGCCTTGCCGGTAGAGGTCGCAGCGGCCCGCGCCATGCTGAATAAAATTCAAAGTCCGCTGCCGAAACCGTCCAGCGATTCAAATGCCTACGAACTTGGCGAATTAAACGGCCACTATATCGTCATTGCCTGCCTGCCATATGGTGTATACGGAACGGTGGCTGCCGCGAATGTGGTGTCTCGCATGCGTGCTACCTATCCACGGCTCCAATATGGACTGATGATTGGAATTGGAGGCGGCGTCCCTGGCAAAAACAATGACATTCGACTAGGCGATGTCGTGGTCAGCAGACCGGCTGGGGAGCACAGTGGAGTGATCCAGTATGATTATGGCAAGGCGGTTCGATGCGGGAAACTCGAGCGAACGGGCACCTTGAACAAACCACCGCATAGCCTTTTGACTCATATAAATCAGCTTGAGGCACAACGAATGATGGGGAGTGAGAATGATGTTTTAAAAATAGTAGAGGAAGTATTCGAACGGCATCCTGACATAAAACAAAGGCTTTTGCCCCCAGAACAGCTTACAGACTTCCTTTTCAAATCCTCCTATCACCATGCCGCCGGGGAAGGCACCTGTGAAAAGTGTGATAAAGAACAATTAATCACACGACAGCCACGAGAAACAAGGACACCTTATATCCACTACGGGCTAATCGCCTCAGGAGATCAGGTAATGAAGGACTCAGAGACACGAGACCGTCTGGCACAACAGTATGGTATACTCTGCTTTGAGATGGAGGCAGCAGGCCTAATGGATGAGCTTCCAACCCTTGTGATTCGAGGGATATGCGATTATTGCGATTCTCATAAGCAGAAGCAGTGGCAAGGATACGCAGCGTTGACAGCGGCCGCTTATGCAAGATCGTTGTTATCGATTATCCCTATCAGTCGTCCGGATATTGACATAATGAAAAGTAAGAACATGCGACACTGGATGGTTTCGCTCCCAAGAAATCCCAAATTTGTTGGTCGCGAAGATGAAATCACGAAACTGGAAGAACTTATCACAATGCAAGATAGACCCAAGAGGATCGCAATCACCGGATTAGGAGGAGTCGGGAAGACGCAAGTGGCCCTTGAGCTAGCATACCGCATACGGGACCGAAATAAGGAGTGCTCAATCTTCTGGATCCCCTGTACCAGCCATGCAATGATTGACCAGACGTTCCTGCACATTGCACAAAAACTCAGACTTCGTGACGTGAATCCGGCAGAGGTTAAAGAACAGGTTAAGATATACCTCAGCTCTGAGCGTGCAGGAAAGTGGCTTCTTGTTTTTGATAATGCAGATGATACAAAGATGTGGTTAGCTGCTAGCCACATAGCTCCGCCTCTTGAGGACTTTCTCCCTGAGAGTGAGCAAGGCCGTATCTTGTTCACCAGCCGAAACCGAAAACTCGCGATGAAGCTGGCACCATTTAATGTTGTTTCCATTCCAGATGTGGATAAAGAAACTGCAGTCAAAATTCTGGACAAGACATTAGCGCACGAGGACTTGCCTAGAGATTCTGCTACAACCGCTGCTCTTCTCGAACAACTAGCCTTTCTCCCTTTAGCAATTACGCAGGCGTCAGCATATATTATCGAAAATGGTATCGATTTGTCGATTTACCTTACGCTTCTCCAAGAGCACGAACAAGATGTTATTGAACTCCTCAGCGAAGACTTTAGAGATCCAGGACGCTATCAAGATATCCAGAACCCCGTCATCACTACCTAGTTAATATCGTTTCAGCAGATTCAACATCAAGATCCATTAGCTGCCGACTATCTTTTTTTCATCGCCTGCATCAACCCGCGAAATATACCCCAGTCCATCCTTCCTCAGGCAACATCCAGAAGGCAGAGAGTCGATGCTTTGGGGCTTTTAAACGCATATTCATTCACAAATGGTCAGGAGAGGGATATAGGTATGCACAGACTTGTGCATATTGCCACTAGAAACTGGCTCAGAAAGAATGCGTTATTTAGTCACTGGATCCAACGGGTGGCCGAACATTTGCAGAATGTGTTTCCAGATCATCACCACACGAATCGAGGACTTTGGCAGCAGTACCTTCCCCATGCTTTAACACTTGTGCATGAAAATGAATTTGTTATACAAGAGGAAAATTACCTCGATCTAACTGAAAAGATTGCAGATTGCCTTTTCATTGACGGAAGGTATCAAGAAGCAGAGGTACTTTACAGGAAGCTGATGACAATCTATCAGGAGAAAGCTGGCCCTCAAGGTCGCTCCACTCTGAGAAGCATGGCGAACCTAGCATCAACCTACCGGAATCAGGGTCGATGGAATGAAGCTGAGAAGCTGGAGGTGCAAGTAATGGAGGCATCCAAGATAGTGCTGGGAGCTGAGCATCCATCCACTCTGACCAGCATGGCGAATTTGGCATCAACCTACCGGAATCAAGGTCGATGGAATGAAGCTGAGAAGCTGGAGGTGCAAGTAATGGAGACAAGGAAGACAGTGCAGGGTGCTGAGCATCCATCCACTCTAACTAGCATAGCGAACCTAGCATCAACCTACCGGAATCAAGGTCGATGGAATGAAGCTGAGAAGCTGGAGGTGCAAGTAATGGAGACATCCAAGACAGTGCTGGGAGCTGAGCATCCTGACACTCTGACCAGCATGGCGAACCTGGCATCAACCTACCGGTATCAAGGTCGATGGAATGAAGCTGAGAAGCTAGATGTGCAAGTAATGGAGACATCTAAGACAGTGCAGGGCGCTGAGCATCCTGACACTCTGACTAGCATGGCGAACCTGGCATCAACCTACCGGAATCAAGGTCGATGGAATGAAGCTGAGAAGCTGGAGGTGCAAGTAATGGAGACATCCAAGACAGTGCTGGGAGCTGAGCATCCCGACACTCTGGCCAGGATGAATAACCTTGCCTTGACTTGGAAATCACAAGGAAAGCTTCAAAATGCCTTGGCTCTGATGGAACAATGCTCTGACCTGCGCAACAGAGTGTTAGGACCTAGCCACCCGCATTCCAAGTCATCCTCTCGTGCTCTCAGTGATTGGATGGTTGAGTATAATGCATGAACAGATCACACATTGCTCACTCAAAAAAAGTCCGCAGACTCGACGGGAAGTTTCAGCAGGACCTCCGGCAGCTGTGTTAACTACCTCGTTGACCTATAATGCGCACATCAATCTACCTTATACAAAAAGACAGTCAGCTGCTCAATTATTCCTTAGCAATCATCCTCTTATCATTGCTGGCAGAATACTCGTCCGTGCCCGAAGTCTAAGGCTTACAAGATGTAATTAAATTGGACTGACATATTGTGTACTATTCGGCTGGAGAAAAGATGAGTTGTGTTACTGTATGTATAAAACCTGTTGGATTGTACGTAACAATCTCTAACGGTATATATCAGCGTATCAAATTATGTATGCAAAAGTATGGAATCCTTGATCCCCTTGTTGTTCTTGTTTTTTTGTCTCTAAGTACAGTCAAGGTGGAAGATATCTTTTACCCGGTGGATCAGTGTGTGGCTCGCTATTATTGGCTGACAAATCTCTTCTGTCTGATTGGTTGAATTAGCTTAGCTAATCCAACATAACCATGCTTTGCTTACCCAAATTGGTGGTACTCGTACGTCCGATACGCATTGTAAATTACACCAATACCAGTCTAAACTAAGTATAGATTAGGCTACGGGAGTGGCGCTGAGAAAGAGTCGAAGAGTTGAAAACCATGTAAAGCCGAACTTGCAAGGTGCTGTATCTTACAGTACATATAAGAACCCCACTGTCTCACTAACCAAATTCGCGTAAATTTATGTGTTCCGATTGACCTAGGTGCCTGCGGTTTAAATGACTTTACAAACGCCGCATTTAGAGACTTTCCAACCTTTTTAAGCTTAAAATGAACATTCCTATGAGCCATTCAGTGGGACAGCCGTCCAGTATGTATGGGCCTACATCAACTAGGACAAGCCCTCCGCTCGAACAGTCTTCCGGTGACCATGAGCCTACATCAACTGGAATACTCCCTTCGGTGGGACAGCCGTCCAGCATGTATGGGCCTACATCAACTGGGACAAGCCCTCCACTCGAACAGCCGTCCAGCGACCATGAGCATACATCAACTGGAATACTTCCTTCGGTGGGACAGCCGTCCAGCATGTATGGGTCTACATCAACTAGGACAAGCCCTCCGCTCGAACAGTCTTCCGGTGACCATGAGCCTACATCAACTGGAATACTCCCTTCGGTGGGACAGCCGTCCAGCATGTATGGGCCTACATCAACTGGGACAAGCCCTCCGCTCGAACAGCCGTCCAGCGACCATGAGCATACATCAACTGGGGTAAGCCCTTCGGTGGGACAGCAGTCCAGCATATATGTGCCTACATCAACTGAGGTAAGCCCTCTGCTCGAACAGCTGTCTAGTGACCATGAGCATACATCAACTGGAATACTCCCTTCGGTGGGACAGCCGTCCAGCATGTATGGGCCTACATCAACTGGGACAAGCCCTCCACTCGAACAGCCGTCCAGCGACCATGAGCATACATCAACTGGAATACTTCCTTCGGTGGGACAGCCGTCCAGCATGTATGGGTCTACATCAACTGGGACAAGCCCTCCACTCGAACAGCCGTCCAGCGACCATGAGCATACATCAACTGGGGTAAGCCCTTCGGTGGGACAGCAGTCCAGCATATATGTGCCTACATCAACTGGGACAAGCCCTCCGCTCGAACAGCCGTCTAGTGACCATGAGCATACATCAACTGGAATACTTCCTTCGGTGGGACAGCCGTCCAGCATGTATGGGCCTACATCAACTGGGGTAAGCCCTCCGCTCGAACAGCCGTCTAGCAGGTATAGGCCTACATCAACTGGGACAAGCCCTTTTGTGAGACTGCCTTCCAGCAGGTATGGGCCTACATCAAGTGTCTCTTCTCAGATACCCCTCAGCGTATCCAAGCCTAGGACGACTAGATTGAGCATTCCCATGATCTCTATTAAAACATCTACGATACTCACCACTTCACCAATCTCATCAGGCATTCCCGCGCCTGATACACAGATCCCTGATGTCATTGTTCCCGCAAACGCTTCCATACATATACCAGCCAACTACTCGCGAATTCAACTGGGGTTTAAAAAAGAGCTTTCTTGGCAAGTCATTGCAACCTCGGCAATATGGCAAGCCCAATTATACTACTATTGCCCTCTTGGTATTGCATACGCTTTGCAACTTCCCAGATCCGATGTTGTCCCTTATTGGCTAGGGCTAGACTACAATACAACCACACTCATGAGATTTTTTATCCCCAATGACAAGGTGGAAAACCTGAAAGTTATGCTAAGTACAGAATCATCCGAGCTCTTTCTACAATCAGCTACACCAAACAATCCACCTGCTTTTGCCAAGAGCTCAATTCAAAGCATTTTCGCAATGCTTGATACCAAGGTCCCTTTGATGCAGCCAGCGACAGGGACTGCCTCTCCTAGTACATCCCTAATTAAACATAATCCGACTGCAGCTCAGCCTACACAAGCTGTTAATTCCGGTGCTCCCAGGTCTAATAATAACGACAAGAACCACGAAAAAGTAGTGAAGGCTGCTTGTGGGACAATTTTGGGAACGTCTATTTTCGTCATGTTGGCAATTTACATTACCCGCCGATACAAGGCTAAACACAAGCGATTACAAAAGCTAGATAAAGCTGGCAATGAAACGATAGAGATAATGGTGTATCCTGAACTAACTGAAACTTCAGTTTTCCCATTATAAGATACAAAAAGATAGGTATTTTACGCAGCTTATGTCATGGTACAGTTGATTGATTAATTACTTCATTTAACAGTCCCAGCCGGCCCACAGGCAACTATGTGGCATTTGTCCTAGTCCTGACGGCCAGCTCCGGTCCTATATACATGAAAAAGCTATATATCTATGCACTACCCAGTACCACACCCCTAGAAAGGAGCTTTCTGGTAAGTGGTATTTGAGCGTTTTTGAGTTGTCCCGTAGACCCCTGCGAATGACTGTATGCTCCAACGCATTCCACTAATTCATTCAAATTCTGGCAACAATGGTAAGCGAACAAAACCTGTGCATCGCAACCGAGAACAAGTACCGCTAGGAGGGTACGTGATCGGATCCCTCTCATGTTGCAGATGATAGTAGCGTGAGCGATAACCATTGCAGGTGTCACATTTTAGGTAGAGATTTCTCTTCTTATTCGCCTTTCTACCGGCCTTTCGATTCCGAATCATCACGTTAATACAGTTAAAATATATCATAATTCCTTGCAGGTTATGACGGGGGACACTATTTTTTAATGAGGTAACTGAAGAGCTCTCATCCGGTTCAGTTGCTTTAGCTCTATCAATATGTAACGTCTGGCTCTATTGCCTGTTGTGCGGTTTGACAAGATGGAGGATCGTTTAAATATGGCCTTAACCTGAAACTGGAGTGAGTTACCAGAACCGTAGGCAGTTCACGCACTTTCTTACCATTCATTATTCCTTTCTGTTATTGGAATGATGCTCAGTTCCTGATAAGATTTGGCATCGAATTTCTTGAATACGCATGCTCTGATTCTCACGCATCTGGGACCACCTGGCACATCTGCTGCCAACAAGCCATATATGTGCTCTTTTACAATCCGCTCCAGGCTTACGTATGTACAGTGCTAATGTGAGCGCTTGAAAAAAATATCTCCCTAGTCTAGGACAGTAGGAGCCTTTTACAAATCCTCCGTGGTGGCAATAGTTAGGGTAGTAAGTAGGCGCCGTCTCACACGTGGCAGATATTTTGGCCTTCATTCCACTTCACTCCATTCACGCATTTAGAGTCTGATGTAAGTTTATTGAGTGGTTATTCAAATTCTTATAACTGTATGGTGATGGTGTCAATCTAGATCTTCCATTCGTTGCTAGCATTTCGGCGAGAATACTTGGTGTAATTTAAAAAGGGATATATTAGGTAAAAAAAGCTTCCTGGTCAATATTACTGCCAAAGGCTGCAAGCATTTGCTATTCTCATTGAGCCGACCCACAAACGCCTTACGTATTTCCAACGCAAACCAATGGGAGTGGCTGTAAAAATAGCCTGTTCTCATTAGTACTTCAGTTGTCTATCAGAGACACGGTTTCCCTTGTCTCTCAATTGCCATGGCATTACAGAAGAAACAGCCAGCTTGATTACACCACCACCACCACCACCCAAGGGATTCAAAGCAGCATGGTGGAAACTCTCACATCGATATCGTGCCAAATTCGGAATAAAATACAAAATGCTTAAATAGGATAGGATGCGCTCTTCTAGTAACGGCTCTGACCGGGCTTCTTAATAGATGTTACGATTTACGGTCAAAATTCAGTTTCAGTTAGGAAATTACATTTCGACTGGACACTGTGGTATCTTTGAGTGGCACATTCAGAGTATGTAACAACTCTTCGATTTTCTTTCAAATTGTGCCAAGAAGACACCATAATAAATATAGAATAGTGCAGGGACAATATTACAGACGGATTCGAAACCTCCTTCACTTTTTTCTTTCTCTCTCTTCTTTTTTGGGCCCCACTTTCCGGGGTATATTTTGGAGCTAGCTCCAGAATAGTTAGACCTAATTTTAATCTTTCAAGACAATACAGACACATAAACTATGAACCAATAATAAGAATTAATTAATAGATATAGCGTGATGTACAGCCCTAGTAAAATATCTTACAAGATTAGTCGCTTTTGGAATAGTGTAGGCACCAGCCCTGGTTGTGGGGCAAAATAAAGAGAGAGAATAAGAAAAAAAGTGATGTTACGAAGTTGAACTGCATGACGCTAAATTGTACCATGACCAAAAGGGAAAGGTCACTTTGGTGTTTGAAGCGTATGAACCATACGATTACAGACAAGATGGAAGTATGTCACAAAGTGGATACTTTGGTATGGGACACGCACCAAGTCACGTGAAGATATGAATAATATACCGTTATCTTGGATAAGATAAGGGTATACGAAACAACGATATATCATTGGATTATATCGTATACCTTATACTTGCTACCTTTCAAAGGTATACGATATAGGATATACAAAACGTGGAGGACTGGATATATAAGGACGCTCTTTTACCATCATGTATTTAGTTCTTCATAGCTCTTTGACATAAGTCACTTGAATACAACAGTGAGAGTCAGCAAGGCATTCTAACTCGTACGGGCACCAGGCTGTACGGGGGATCTCTTCTATCTTAGTTACGTTTAAGACTTCCAAACCCTTGACCGATCTATTGTTACTTCGTTTACTCAAAGCCTACTCTGTCGATCCGACAACCCGAACCTTTGTGTGGTTCACCAAAGCCTAACGTATCACGACACAACGCTGTTTAACTAAGGTGGATCCAGGTCCGTGACAAAAGAGCTATCGTCTTGACTCCGTGATACGGTAGGAATCAAGTACTATTGAAAGAAAATTGCCGAATCAGGAAAGTATTACCCATTTAAGAAATTAACAATGGCAGGAAACACCACAACACCAACTAGCAGTACTGTAGGAGGAAACAGTGACGTGGCTAGGCTTCAGTTGAGAATCCAAGAACTCGAAGCACAATTAACGGCAAAACAACCCAAGACACCCAAGCCTCAAATCTTCGACGGAAAACGATCGGAACTCAAGAATTTCCTCACGCAAATGGACATGCATGTAGCAATCAATGCAGTGTCACTCGGAACCGAAGAATCCAAGGTAGTCTTTGTGGCAACGTGCCTCACTGGAGAAGCGTTTCAATGGATCGAACCAGTGCTTAGGGAATACTACAACAGTGAAAAGAAGGATTGGAGCGACCACACTAAGGAAATATTGGGATCCTTCAAGACGTTCAAGGAAAAGTTTCAACTCGCGTTTGGCAATATCGACGAGGCAAGAAATGCAGAAAGACAACTACGACAATTACGACAAACAGGATCTGCACGACAACTAGCAATCAAGTTCAAACAGATCGCCATGATACTCGATTATAGTGACGACGTACTCATTGCAATGTTTGAAAACATGCTAAAGGAAGACGTTCAAGTAGAACTCATCAAGATGGATCGACCAGACGATATCGACGAATTTATCGAACAAGCCGTCAAGATCGACGACAAGCTGTACGAAATCAAGCAAAAACGACAAGAGATACAGGGATGGAGACGCCACGGGACGGCGCTACCAGCAAATCAACGACGACATAGGTCAGGCAATCATGGGCAGAGACGACACGACCCATATGGACCAATGCCAATGGAACTCGATGCAACCGCAGAAGCAAAAAACTATGAAAAGAAGAAAGTCAGGTTCGACAAAACAACTGTCAAATGCTACAACTGTGACAAGATGGGACACTATGCAAGAGAATGCAGAAGCCCAAAGAAAGAAAGACAGATTAAAGCAACTCAAGATAATGGCTTCAACGAAGAAGACCAGGACGGATATGCCGAATGGGACAACAATTACGGCGTTAACGACTACCAGAACGACAGGGACATATGCAGCAGTTTCAGCGGAACAGAAAGCGAAACGAACCTTCACCTCACAACGATGCACGCATGGGACTACGAAGAGGTAGAAGATGAACACAATAGGGTTGACGATTATCCGGAAATCGATAACGAGCCTGAGAGCCAGTATCAGGATGCTCAAGAACGGCCAGAAACAGAAATCCCCACAGACGACGAATGGGAAGAAATTAAAGCACTAGGAAACCCATGTGAATCAGATTGTCAAGTGCTATACAAAGACCCGAAACATCCAGGGCATGGATCCATTGCATTTATCTTCTGTAATGACGATTGGTGCAGTGTGCATCTGGGTGCGAAGCAAGGGAGTGGATATTTTCCAAAACCACACCAAGAGATAAAGCCAGAAAACTGCAAATGGCTAAGAAGGGACAACGAAGGACCCTCAAGGATCAGTTTGGCGAAAACTGACGATACCGCTATGCCCAATACAGCGAAGCAGTCGGCAGGGACTGGGGACACGAATGAGGCCCGAAAGCCTGAAGGACCAAAGCGAAGACAACGAACACTAGTACCGCTAAGGAACGATGAGGAAAGTCCAGAGGAAGACAGTAACACTACGAGACAGCGAAAGATTGAAAACGACATAAAGCAGTTAATGCGCGAGTGGACTACACTACGAAAAGAAGAAATCGAACGAATCGGAGAAGCAAAAAACTTGAAAGCCACCGCACACGGACGACACTTCAAGATAACGGCCAATATCTTGGGAAGTGACGTACGAATCATGATTGATTCAGGAGCGACAGGGAACTATATGGACCCAAGGACGCAAGAAAAACTGCAGATACTAGGACGAAAGAAACCTACACCGATACCGTTGACAGGGCTCAATGGGGAGAAACTGTCAGAAGAAGGAATCACCGACGAAACAGGGTGGTTAGCTATGAGCATTGACGGACACCTCGAGATGATCAACTTTGATATTGCGAAACTAGGAAGAGACGACGTAATCCTAGGAATACCATGGTTGAGAAAGCACAACCCAGAGATCCAATGGGATAAAGGACACCTACATTTGACGAGATGTAGATGCGGAACAACCCGGACTATAAAAGCCTCTGAGACGACAGAGAGCCAGGAGATCGACATTCAGGAAACAATGGATACTCCTCAACAGGATGAGACCAAGGGCAGGGTCATCGCTGAAGTCACGGAAAAGATTACGCTGCACAAAGAGCAAGAGATGTTCAGGGAACTCTTAGAGAAAGCGGCAAAGGAACGACAACTCGCAAGCAGTACGAACGTTGCGTTACCAACAGAATACGAGCAGTTCAGAGATTTGTTCGACGGAACATACCAGGCCTTACCAGACCACAGTGAATGGGATCATACTATTCCACTCAAGGAAGGAAAAGAGCCAATACCTCAGAAGATTTACCCAGTGTCGGGAAATGAAGAAGAAGCTCTGAAGAAATACATCGAAGAAAATCTAGAAAAAGGGTACATACGACCATCGACATCACCAGCAGGATACCCAGTACTATTCGTCAAAAAGAAAGGAACAACAGAATTGAGAATGTGTGTTGACTTTCGGCAACTCAACAACATTACAGTTAAGGACAGTTACCCCTTACCACTGATCACAGAAATACAAGATAAAGTTCGAAACAAGAAATGGTTCACTAAACTTGATATCACCGACGCGTATAATCGCCTCAGGATCAAGGAAGGAGAAGAATGGAAAACAGCATTCAAGACCAAGTTTGGACATTTTGAATATTTGGTCATGCCATTCGGACTCACCAACGCACCAGCAACATTCCAGAGATACATCAACAATGTAATCTCACCATATTTGCACGACTTTACCATCGCTTACTTGGATGACATTTTAATATTCTCCAACAGCATGGAAGAACATGTGAAACACGTGAGATTAGTACTCGAACAACTGAAAATGGCAAAACTACAAGTGAAACTGAAAAAGTGCGAATTCCATGTACAAGAAACTGACTTCTTGGGACACAGGATTACACAAGAAGGAATACAGACAGAAAAAGAGAAAGTTCAGGCAATCAAGGATTGGCCTCAACCAAGGAACCTCAAGGAACTACAGTCATTCATTGGATTGATCAATTACTATCGACGATATATTGAAAACTACGCAAAAATCATGACACCGATGTTCAAATTACTGAAAAAGGAAATACCATATGAGTGGAAAGAAGAACAACAAAAAGCATTTGAAGAAGCCAAAAAACGACTCACAACGGCACCTATTTTGGCACAACATGACCCCGAATTACCAACAACATTGGAAACAGATGCATCAGACTTTGCGATTGGAGCAACCATGACTCAACCAGGAACAGATGGAAGACCCAGACCAGTTGCATACTACTCAAGAAAGCTCATCGACGCAGAACTCAATTACGAGATACACGATAAAGAACTGTTGGCTATAGTGTCAGCACTTCGGCATTGGAGAGTATATCTCGAAGGAGCAACATTTCCGATACGAATCATTACGGATCACAAGAACCTTACCTACTTCACGACAACAAAGGTATTGACAAGAAGACAAGCCAGATGGTCAGAACTATTAGGAAATTACTGGTTTACTATCGAACACTGCAAAGGCAAGGAAAACGAAAGAGCAGACGCTCTCAGCAGACGACCAGATCACGAAGAAGGAATCAAGAAACCCGAACCAGCATTGCTACGACTAAACAAAGAAGGACACTTGGAGTATAATCCACAAGTGGCTACACTCGCGGCAACGGCAGAAACAACAACGGATTCAGAATTACAAGACAAAATCATTGAAGAGACGGCCAAGGACGATTTAATTCAGTCTTTGATCGAAAACGAAGACGACAAAGTTACGGCAACAGAGACAGGATTAGTATTTTGGCATGGTTTAATCTATGTACCAAAATCACTAAGAAACGAAATCATTCGACTCAACCATGACACTTTAACTAGCGGTCATCCAGGACAACTCAACACAATGGAACGAATCACCAGGAATTACTACTGGCCACGAATGATGAAAGACATCGAAACCTATATCAAGGAATGCGATGCATGTCAGAAAAACAAGATCAGCAGACACCAACCATACGGATTACTACAGGAAATCAAAGCACCAGATTACCCATGGCAATGGATTACGATGGACCACATTGTCAAACTACCAGAATCACGAGGATGTGATGCTATTCTAGTAATAGTGGATAGAATGACGAAATACGCACACTTCATACCAACAACAGAAGGAACCAACGCTGAAGAACTAGCAGAAGAACTGATAGACGGAGTGTTTCAACACCATGGAATACCAGAGATCATCATCTCAGACAGAGGACCTACATTTGCATCAAAACTATGGAAATCAATGATGGACCTTATGGGAGGAGAGCAACGACTATCAACAGCATTTCACCCACAGACGAATGGACAAACAGAAAGGACAAACCAGACATTGATACAATATCTACGGCACTATGTGAATCACCATCAGGACAACTGGGCAGAACTACTATCTATGGCTCAGCTGGCATACAACTCGGCAAAACATTCGACAACCGGTGTATCACCATTCTTTGCAAACCACGGACGAGAACCACGATTAATGGGACAACCAAAGTTCAAGGAATCAGTCAACGCTACAGCAGAAGAAAAAGTACAGCAAATGAAGGCGTTATATTTCTATCTTCACACGGAAATCATCAATCAAAACAAGCTTACAACGGGCTATTACAACGAAAAACATCAGAAGGGACCTGACTTCAAAAGGGGGGAGAAAGTCTACCTTTCACGAAAAAACATTCAAACTACCAGACCAAGCGACAAACTCGATCACCTACGGATTGGACCATTTGAAATTGAGGAAAAGATTAGCGAAGTCAACTACAAACTGAAACTACCCAATACTATGAGAGTACATCCAATTTTTCATATCTCATTATTGGAACCAGCACCACAGAACGCTAAAACACAGGAGGAAATCACTATCGAACAAGAAACCTATGAAGTTGAAAGCATATTAGCGGAGAAAGAATCACCAGACGGGAAACTCTATTACCTAGTTAAATGGAAGGACTACAGCACCAAGGAAAGCACCTGGGAACCTATTGAGAACCTTGTTGGAGCTGAGGAAGTTCTAGAGAGGTATCGCCGACGGCATCCAACGAACCGGAGGGAAATTGTTCAGAACTGGCGAGCCACGCGTCAAACTCCTCGACGGTCGCAGCAAGAGCACGGGATTCCAGTTGTTCTCTCATAATTTCAGCATCGGCGATGGCCACCTCTGTTTCAGAAGGGGGATTTTCGGAATCCAAGATTTCCAACACTCTTTGATTGTGAGAACGCATGCTCACGACACGCTCATTATCAGACTCCTCGAGACGACGAAGACGTTTTAATTTTGCAAACAACGATTCGATCTTATCTTCGGTCTCTCGAATTTCGGCTTTTCTTTTTTGACGATTAGACTCAAGGGTCTGCCATTCCCTACCACTATGAAACCGGCGTTCACAAGGACGACCACGACGAGTGCAAGCGGCACATTTTTCATTTTTATCAGCCATTACGCAATCGAAACCGTTGAACTGGCAATATTCGCAAGGAAACTCGACAATGAAACCGTCCTTTCGAATTTTGGAAGATTGAGAAATGCGTTGAAGAAGTTTATCAGCTTTAAGGCGTTCAGGATCAGCTTTGGATTGCGCTTTTGAACGAGGCATTATGGGGACGACACAGAAACATCACTTACCAACAGAAGAAAGCAGGGTCACGCTGGGAACGAGGGCGCGTCTTTCTACTTATACTATCGAGGACGATAGGCTGAGAGAGGGGGAGTGATGTTACGAAGTTGAACTGCATGACGCTAAATTGTACCATGACCAAAAGGGAAAGGTCACTTTGGTGTTTGAAGCGTATGAACCATACGATTACAGACAAGATGGAAGTATGTCACAAAGTGGATACTTTGGTATGGGACACGCACCAAGTCACGTGAAGATATGAATAATATACCGTTATCTTGGATAAGATAAGGGTATACGAAACAACGATATATCATTGGATTATATCGTATACCTTATACTTGCTACCTTTCAAAGGTATACGATATAGGATATACAAAACGTGGAGGACTGGATATATAAGGACGCTCTTTTACCATCATGTATTTAGTTCTTCATAGCTCTTTGACATAAGTCACTTGAATACAACAGTGAGAGTCAGCAAGGCATTCTAACTCGTACGGGCACCAGGCTGTACGGGGGATCTCTTCTATCTTAGTTACGTTTAAGACTTCCAAACCCTTGACCGATCTATTGTTACTTCGTTTACTCAAAGCCTACTCTGTCGATCCGACAACCCGAACCTTTGTGTGGTTCACCAAAGCCTAACGTATCACGACACAACGCTGTTTAACTAAGGTGGATCCAGGTCCGTGACAAGTGAAGGAGGTTTCGAATCTGTCTGTATCGGCTATAAAACCCCCTCTAGCCAGCACAGTCTCCTGCCCGGTCGTTCCACTGATAAGAATTTCTCCACCAGAGTTTCGGCTTGGAAAGTTCTCACCTTCAGCTAGACCGTGCGATCCAGCTTACTATGTACTAACGTCCCTCACCATGAGAAGGTGGCTTTCCACAAGGGGCATAGTTGGTTGTTATTGGTTACCTAAGCTAACTACTCCGTAACCTACAGCAACGCTGACCCCTTTACGGCGTTCATTAGACTCTCGGAACATAGTTAATTCGTGCCAGAGGAGATCCACGGGTGTAGCTCGCGGACACCTGGCTAGTGAGCGCACGTGTAGGTTACTCCACACTGTGATTTAGAATCAGGGAGATTTATATGGGTGATAAGGCTTCAATTCGAATCGAAGATGAGGACAGCAGCTCAGGGTTTGGGTTATCGGAATTACTTAGAGATATTTTCAGATTGATCGGGGACACTAATAGAAACTTTTGAGAGCGAGCTAGAAACAAGGAATTCTGTGCGTATCTCTCGCTCACTAATACTTATCCCTCTTAGGAGCCTTTCTCCCAGAGGCGCTAGACTACATGCAGCAGGCGACACTCGCAGTAAGGAGCTAAACTTGTCAACAATTTACTAGGAGTAATGATCTTTCAGGAAATAAAAAGAAGTGGAGCCCGAAAATGTGCCGAGATTCACATGTGCCCTTATTACTATGTAGGCGGCAGGTAAACTCCGTAAAACAAAGAATCTCAATTACGTAGTGTGGAGCACATCCTGGGCTTCACAGAACACTTGTCAAGGGGTCAACGACTGGCCGAATGTAATCATTGATGTCAAATCGGTTTGGGTTCTGGGCCAGACATCTTCACTGTAAACTCCGCTTCACAGTGGTCCTCGACGCCTCGCGTCCTTGACATCCCCTGGAAAATCAATTAAAATGGATCCCCGCTAGGATTGACTTTCTCAAAACTGTTGAGCAACGCCGTTAATTCGCGCACTAAATTACCCTACTGCTCATTGGTGTAAACTCTAAACCGCTGCCATGACTCAGAATGTCATACGCCGTTCTGGGGCAATTATCCACAAGGGGACTACGCCGTACAAATACGGTTTAGAGAGCGCCATCGGATAGTTTCGGAGAAACACATGTATAGATGCGCCTCTCGTGTATCACGAGTAACGCTGGGGTCCTGCCTACTATGTTTAGTACGGCGGTGCCACGAGGGTGATCTAGGCACGTAGGCTGCTGGTTAAAGGCGTCCTTTAATATATTAATTTGTATGTAAAATCTGATTCCATTAAGGCGGCATAGTGACAAGGAACTAATAAGATCTTAAGAATCCCCGAACAAGCAAGCCTGTACGTAGTATGTATGCGCCCTTCGCTGCCTGGATTATCGGGCTCCTAGAACTAACATAGATTGAAATCCGTAGCCTAGACACTCATTGGATATGCGATATATTACTCGAATTGGTGTTGAATAGATTATTGAACAGAGTGAAACCGTAGCCGAACTAAGTACACTAAGAAATTGTAGATCAAGCAATTGGTTTTGTGCTACAAGACGAACAAAAGAAAAAAATCAGAGACTGGCTTTGCACTTGAGGCATGAACACGAGAAAAGCCAACAAAACAAGGAACACTTGGAAAAAATTCAAAAAAAGGAAGTGATAAGGTAGGCTAAACATAAAAGTGGCCATTGATAGTCTGTAACGTGATACTATCTTGGATCGGACTTGCAGGGGACCCCCAGCATATATTTAGGGAATCAGAAGGGATTCCAGTAGCGGAGCGCCACTATCCTAGCGCATCGAGGCAGAGATTCCTACATACATACTCGATACGAACTCAGCGTCTACACGATTAGCATATTATATTCTTGCTTTTTAAGTAAAAGCCACCCTATCTTACACGGCAGGAAAGCGTACAAAAAACCCGTAGATGGGCCTGTGGGCAACCTTCTATGCGTTAAAATTGAACTCGCCCCTTATACTTATGAATGTCAGCTGCTTCCTTGTGTTTTTATATTGGAGAACACCTAATGCTATCAAAATTACCCCCAAATATTGGCGAAAATCCTTTTCCGAGTTACCCGAGCTCAGGGAAATCAAAGTTCTTGCGGATTGAAAATGGGTTCTTCCCGTAGCGGGATATGCAAAAAAATATCAAGAGTACGTACTAGTTACACGGCGTAGGAGACTAAGGATAGCCTTATGCAGGAGCACAGACATGCATGCATGTAAACAAGATCACGTGATGTCGGCTTGCCCGCTAGTTAGGCATATTGAGATTCCAGCCACTTTGCCCCACAAAGTTTTATACACACAGTCTACTATACTGCGGTTCAATCTATGTAGCCCACTTCAAGCTTGCTTAACATATGTCCAGGTGAGCAACGGGCAAATGGGTCCATATATAGAGACTCTTGAGTTATCTTATACCTACCTGAGGGTGGATGATCTACCTATTTAGGTAATGTGGGAGCCATTAATCAAGCTGGATCCCGCTCTATAATTCCGTATATTGACCATTACCCAGTTAGAGCATATGTCTCCATATAATTTAGAACAAACCAGTTGATACGCCGTGAGCTGACATGCGCACTAGGTACACTTCCTTTCTTTCAGATGTAACATAGAGCGGCTGACCCAAGGTACCGGTACCCTAAGTCAACAGTCGACCCCATACAGAGGAAGAGCTGGTCTGGCTGTTGCTGGTCTCCACTTGCTACACGAACAAAGGAAAAATTGTCGTCTTCCAATACCTAGGTACGGTCACCGGCATTAGCTTGCAACAAAAGGCGTCATTATCTACGGCGGTCTGGTATAGATATGCCAATCAGAATATAGCTATTGCCGTATAATGAAGTAACCGGGCATTGATGACATAGACTGGCATTATGAGTTATGTCCGGTGATGTAAGCTGACTCCAATAACTTACTCTATAAAGTAGTACTTGTCGTTCAGACTGAACTGTATGATTTATAAAACAGTTATTAGTTTTGGGCCATTCCACGTGTTACCTTCATTTCAAAAAATGGTACTATATTGCTGATCTGAATGGTTATTATCAAATCGATGTGCTCACCAATGTCTTCAAGGGTTTCGAGTACGATAAACCAGCAAGCGGTCCGGGGGATAGACGAAAACTTAATAACAGAAATGCTCAACGGAGATACCGAGAAAGACAAAAGGAGTACCTATCATCACTTATGAGACAAATTGCCGAGCTTCAGAATGCAAATTCTCAGTATCAAGAAGCTTATTTTCACCTTCGAGACCAAAATGGTCAGCTTCAAGACGAAATTGGTCAGCTCCACGACGAAATTAAGCGCCTCAACACTATCATACAGAATATTATTGGCTTCGAGGTTTTTTGTTGAAGAAACAAGCAGGCTTTGGGATGCGAAATCAACCCAAGAACGATAACAAGGGTACATATCTCGGAGTAGAAGGAGAAAGGATTAAATGAATGCTTTAGGCATGAACAGCTCTCTTGCATAAACCTGAAGCCATGGGATATATGAGGTTGTAAATAGAACCGGGACATAACAAATTTTCGGGAATTATCATTAGATCATCCGCAGTTCGAGAATTCGAGTTTAAAACTTCTCCTTTTGTTAATTCAATATTGCACCAGAGGCCTCATCTAACCGTTTCAAGAACTTTCGACACCATATGACGGTATACTATATTAGCTATATAGCACTTTGAAGTACAGTACCACGGAAAAGTGTTGATACCCTTGTGCGGGTGTTACCGATATTGGGGGGTGCCAACACTTTTTTCATCCCACTATAGTTTATCCACGCCGCTGTTGATTTCCGGGGAGATTGAAATAGGTTTTTGTTTTAACCTTAAAGTACTGTAACAACTAGAAAAGCGATCTTAACAATACCTGTTGAACAACTTGTGTCTCGAGACACATATTATTGAAGTCGGTTCTGTCAAATAATCTGGATTACAAACGAGGCAGAAAGATTTGACGTTCGATCTTACTGTACAGGTCTAAAAAGGCACCTTAGGGCATATATCTGGGCACCTAGTGTTAAGGGCTGGGCCCAATATCGATAGTCAGGGCTATGCCCTCCCAAATACTGCACCCGGACACGCTATTCTCTATTAGGAAATTTCCCCTATCCGAACGTACCCTACCCGAACATGAAGCTATCCACAATTCCGTGCTTGAGCTAAGCGAGTTGAAACAGTCCCATTGACCCTTTGCATATAAATTTGTACGTTGAGCGGAAGTTGTTTGCTCTCTTCCCTTCCTTCTTTTCCTCATGTATGTTATCTATAGTAATTCATAAGGCGGGACTGGCCCGTAACAACCTCACCACTTAGTTAGAGAATACATGACGCCTTCTAGAGCCTAATCACAGTAACTTCAAGTAAGCGACCATTGCGTAATACTGCGGGCTCATTTTCGTTGCTATTTGATCTTAAAATAGGCGGGAAACGTCAAATTTTTACTGGTGATGGTCCCCTAAATGTTACTCATTATACCCTAATATACCCGCTAACACACTTTATTAGAGAAAATTGTAATTACATACACGCCAAACTCCTATTGGTTCCTTAATATATCCTATATGTTATTTTCTCGGCATCTCTATACTAAAATTAGTTTCATGGTGGCAATCTACGCTCATTACTTACTTTTAGCATAAGGCTCAGCCTAACATCCCCTAATCTATGAATCTTTCTAATTAATTATGACAGACATAGGTAATGTGACAATCTGGAACAACGCATTTCCTATCATGTTCGTCTGGTCAGTCGATGATATTCAAGGGCTAAGGAGAGAAGTTACTATGGGTGACTCCTACCAAGAAATTTGGCGCCGAAATAAGAATGGTGGGGGAATTTCCATCAAGCTAAGTGACACCCCAACCATAGAAAATATCCTGCAATTTGAATATACTCGAGACGGAGACATTATATATTGGGATTTATCTGAAATCGACATGGGCAATTCATCATTATTTAAATTCGCAAGACGTTCAGTGACTTCTGATAATAATCAATGTGCTGGCTTCACATGTAATCCAGGTGACTTAGCATGCCATCATGTATTCATACATCCTGATGATACATACGCAATTCATGCCTGCAGCGCTGCGACGAATATAGTTGTAACGATTGCTTGAACCTAACTGATGGCTTATAGGGAAGGAACGCGAAGACAATCCCTCAACCGTGGTCTCGCGAAGAGGCCTGCTCTGCACGAAGGGAGCACTAATATGGAGTCAAAAACTGGATTCAAATTTGTTGTTAAGAGGAAGATTCCAAAAGGTCTGTCACGGATCCGACTCAGAGGTCTTACGATACAAAGGAAACGCCCGGAGACCTTTGTTATCACGCGCTGGGAATAGCTTCACCAAGGGCTCTGTGGTTTTGTTGCAGGGTTTTGTTAGTGGTTTTGTTACAGGACTTTGTTAGGGATTTTTATACGGATTTTGTACAGTAGTAACAGTCCATCAGGGATCATGCCCTGGAGCAGGCACCGCGTAGGCATAAACACAGCCTTGCTCCCCTGTAGGATAGTCCTTCTCTTCAGCTCACGTCTTGTTAGTTTTTATGATAACATTTTATCCTTTGACCTCGCTCTGTTACAGGGTCAAAATAAACTATCTAAATACTATGAGGCTCACAACCTTACACCAAACAAGACCCGGATCATGCCGTGCAACCGTTGACGTTGCTCTCCGTCAAATCTCCATGGGAAATCATCATTGAGATTTACTGCGGTTCCAACAAATACATTATTAACAATACCTTTGAAAAACCAATGAATTATCAGGCTAGCATAGAGATTGTGTATAAGAGTGGTATCATAAAATACAAGTCAAACCGTGCTAGTGTTAGCTGCAGGCAACAACCTTAAAGGTCGCGCGAAATAAATAAGAGAGAGGTTTCGAATCTGTCTGTAGTAGTACTGTACTGTAGTAATAGTAGTAGTAATAACTTCATTACACCCGGAGGCATCAGGCCTAAAGGGCTCCAATACACTATTTACTGTCCATCGCATACACTATGGTCATGGTCTTGTTTTCGAAAGGAAAAGCTGTAACAGCTACAAAAACCCCTCTAGCGCATTGTATCTTGAACGTTCCTTATTCTCACTGTCATCATGTCCAGAAGTTTACCTATCCCTTTGAGACACGGACTTCCGACGCGTCCATTCTCGGTGTCGTTTCGGAAAGCTCTTCCCTTAGTAACGATTTACCAAGAGTACTTCTCACATTGGCGTCCCTACGCTGTACGCTATCTACATAGATTTGCTAGGTGCTTTCCAACATTGTGAATGTCAATTTGGAAAAAATATTGATATGACCGGTGGGCACTGACCTCCGGTACGTAACGGTGCTATTCATCCTGATCACTGAGCGGTGTTACATAACGTAATCCACAAGCGAACCGCCACCACAAGCGAGCCGTCACTTCTAATACACATACAAAGTAGCCTATTTACAACCTCAATCTTTCCACAAAATTATATAGAAATTACAGCTTAAAATTATGTATATATATTGTTAGTCTTATCATCTCAGAATGCAAAGCTAATAAATATAATATCTATTAAAATTACCAAAATTACCAAAATTACATTGTAATTTTAGCGATTTATATAACTCGACTCTACTTTTAGGTCCTAACTTATAAAAACTATTAAAGAACTAGATATTCCTGTTTTTAAACTGTGCCTTTGAAATATATCTTATTTTCAATAGCAATTCATATATAATTTTGTAGAGAGATTGAGGTCGTAAGTAGGCTACTTTGTATGTGTATTAGGAGTGACGGCTTGCTTGTGGTAGCGGTTCGCTTGTGGATTAATTCCGTATTTTCAACACGCCAACATGTCACCAATTCGCAATAAAAATAAGAAAAATTTAGCTGAGCAAGAGGGACAAATCTTACGCGTGACTCAAGCTGCAAGGATTCATAGTATACCCCGAGCGACTCGACAAGACAGATTAAACAGCACTCAACAAAGATCTCAAGTACGCGCCAACAGTCATAAATTAACTCAATGTGAGGAGGAATCACTTGTCAAATGGATACTCGATCTAGATAAACGTATATTACCCCCTCGACACTCTCTTGTGCGAGAGATGGCTGATTATCTTCTTTCACAACGCGGAAACCAATAGGTTGGAGAAAATTGGGTATATAATCTTGTCAAACGTCGCCTAGAGATTGAATGAAAGTTCTCGCGGAAATATAACTATGAACGTGCTAAGTGATAATCCAAGAATATTTCGATCGCGTACGAGAGGTTATATTAGAGTATGGAATCTTGCCAGAAGATATCTACAATTTTGATAAGACTAGCTTTGCTATTGGGTCTCTGTGCGACTGCAAAGGTTATCACTGGAAGTAATCGATATGCTCGGCCAAAGCTACTACAGCCTGGTAATCGAGAATGAGTAACTGCAAATGAGACAGTTAATTCGATTGGATGGGCATTGCCTACATACATTATTTTTAAGGCAAAGAAATACACTCGACTAGGCTGGTTTGAGGATCTTCTAGACGACTAGATAATCAATATTAGCGATAATGGATGGACGACAGATAAGATCGGATTAGAATGGTTTAAAACTCATTTTATTCCTCTTACCAATGGCCATACATTGAGAAAACATCGGATGTTAATTCTTGATGGTCATGGAAGCCATTTAACTGCTGAATTTGACCGTACATGCACTAAAAATAATATTATTCCAGTCCGTATGCCTCCTCATTCTTCACATCTTTTAAAGCCCCTTGATGTTAGCTGTTTACTGTTTTAAAGCAACATTATGGACAAATTGTTGAGCAGCGAATGAGGCTTGGATTCAATCACATTGACAAAATCGACTTTCTTACTGCATTCCCAAAGGCGCGTATGATGGCATACAAAGCTCAAACTGTTCGGAATAGCTTTACAGCAACTGGATTAGTACCATTCAATCCAGATCGAGTTTATCAACAGCTTACTGTTCGATTGAAGACTCCAACACCCCCCCAAAGTCGATCAAGTGATACACAATCATCCTGCTTGCAAACCCCTCAAACCCCACGTCAATTTAAGCGCCAAATGACTAAAACGAAGAAGAGAATAAGCCGGCATACAAGAAGTTCATCTGAGGCTATTGGTGAAGTGTTTACACGGGCATCAAAGGCTTATGAGATGAGTATTAATAAGCTTACAATTGCACAGAAGGAACTCCATGATCTATGGGCTGCACATGAGAAGGAGAAGCAAAAACGTCAAAAATCTAAAAAGCAAATATCCCATGACCAAGGAATTACCAGAGAGGAAGCTCAAGCACTTGTACAAGGTCAGATTGAGGCATCTCAAGCTGTTACTACTGCTCCGGCTGAGCATGAGCTCCCAGTCTCTCATCCACCAGTATGACGTCAATTTCGCTGCAGTGGTTGTGGTATTGAAGGACATAAAATAATCGGATGTCCTAATTGCATTAGTGATTAATTTTTTTTGTATATAGTTTGTATATGGTTAGAAATTGAGATTTGAAATTGAGATTTGAAATCAATATTGAGCGCGTTTTCGGGAAAAGTGGCCAACTCGCTTGTGGATTACGTTTAGTTAACTTAGTTGACTAAACGGAGTACACGTATAAGGAACTAGGTCTATTCTCCGGCCCTCCCTTCTAACCAACTAGTCTTGAACTTGTTTTTATATACTATGGTACAGTTCGTTGCATAATTAGCTTGACAAATTCTTTTTTTGTCTCTTCTACTAAATATACTTCAACTAGGCCTATAATAGCTAGAGTAATTCTATTAAACCAATAGAAAAGTAGTATTATGACCTTGAGCGCCCGGCTCTAGCTTCTCAACTTCACGAAATTCATTCAGTTGTCAAGCTACTTATGCAAACTACTGTACAAGGTTTTGTAGAACTGATATCACCAACAGTCGACACCTGTGCAAATAAAACTTTCTAGTATATATAGTTAGGCGGTAAAATTGATTTATAATACTTGATATCGCGTCGAAATGTGATGCCAATTCTCGAAATTTCTTGGCATTCATCAGGATGTATTGACTGAGCCGTCACTCAGGAACGGGCGTAACTCACTTATCAAGCCAGTGTGAACATTGCGTGATTACATGTACACAAAAGTCACAAATTACCATAAAGTACCAATCCAGCCATGTTGGGACCGACTTCAGACCAGACTTAAATAAATCAGGAGGCGAAATACTACTAAATGAGAGAGCGAAGGTTTCGAACGTGGCGTCTGTTATAAAAACTTGTCCTAAGAACACTGTTAAAACTAAGTAAGCAATGATACCTGTGGGCAGAGAAAATACCCCTCATACCGGGGTGCGTACAGCCCTTTATGGCGGGTATATTACTTATGTCCTCGATCCCTTTGACAAACTACTCGAATTTGGTGAGACGTCTATTGTTCCAAATTTTGGACCAAATATTTTCGGCCAGGTTTCTAAACAGGTCCATTTGGTGTCACTTTCTCTTATTTCTAGTACTCTTTTGTGTGCCTGATCAAAAGTTGTCCCTGACATATTTGGCCTTGGGATACTTTCGATCTACGTGCGAATGGAGGCAGGTGTTTTATACATGTTCTATCTCACAATTCACTTCTATTAATAAACATTATTGCTTTGTCGAACTAGCCCAGTCCTATCTACCCAGCTAAGCCTACAGGACATGACGCTGGTTACATGTAATCCTACATCTATCCTAGCTTCCGGCTTGGTGCAGTACATCCTTTTTTTTATTGGGAATACTTTGTATAGAGATCTTTGTCAATAAACTTGAGATCAATCAGCATTGTTCTTTGTTATCGATACGCATTGATTCCAATGTGATGCTGGCCAGTCAACAGAGATTTCAGAAATACGGGTTGTTTTCCCTCAATAGATAGTTTCCCTCTTCATGCTCAGTTCTTCGTCAACGCTGGCACTCTAGTTACATGTGGTGAATATCTTCATTTGGATTGGTTGTATGTTACACCTATCAGACTGCTCAAATGTTGGAACAACAGTTAGAGTACCTGACTTATTTTGGGCCTTGGTCGATATTAGCTATCAGTGCAAAAAAATCCCCCTTGTGTAACAATCAACATGGCTGACCAATCTCTTAGGGTCAGTTTGATATGAGAACAGAGAGTGACAAAAGTGTGGATATTTCAGTTGATCATGGTCAATGTTCAGCTGGTTAGGTTAATAATGTTTTGCCACGAAACAATATGAATATCTCTTATATAGAATGCACACTGCAGAAGCATATAAACTATACGCGACGGTAGTCAGACCGAAATTTCCGACATTAAGTCGAGACTCCAGCGGCAAACCCCTTATCGGTTTCTTTAAATATCTACTTGTCAGAACGTGAATATCAACCCCACGAATTTCGGCACTGGATATCTAATTACAGATCAATAACGTGCGCAATTTGGAGCCTTGCCATGGTGCCTGTGATTGTTTCCATTTCCTCGCTACCTTGCAACAAAATGGCCCATCTGACGTGACCGGAGTACATATAGCTGTGACAATTTTACCAGGGAGATATATAATTACGTTCAAGAGGGATCACTGGATGAAGACTAAGAACACAAGCTAGTGTATGGAATAGCAGTAGAAGGCACTGGGCAGTGTACTGTACTTAACTACATTGATTAAACCAGTTACAGTACATAAGGAATCAATATAATATTTTAATTGTGAAAATCATTACAGTACAGCGCCTTGCAAGTGTGGCTTTACATGTTTTGCAACACTTCGACTCTTTCTCGGCGCCACTGCCACTGTCTAATCCATAATAGGCTTAGACTATTAATTTGGTAATTTACAAGTAGTATTGCACATGTATATACCCATATTGGGGGTCAGGATAGCTCCCGGTATCACTGTACTGTTATGTCCTATACGTATTGCGAATTACACCAAATCTCAGTCTAAACCTAGTATAGATTAGGCTGCGGAAGTGGCGTTAAGAAAGAGTCGAAGAGTTGTTAGATAACTAGGTGTCGACAGGACGATACCTCTGACCCTAATTAAGAAAGTGCACATCGCCAAAATGCCCCTTGATACCAATCAACTACAGTGGTCAAACCTGTATAGTTTCATGTTTGTGACTCGGATTCTTCGCTTTGCCTTAGCTGAAATTCCTGTTGTTATTTCCCTTACTTCTCTGAGGCCGCATTGGAATATATAAAGACATAGAATCACCCTCAATTCTTAGAAAGAGGGAGGGGGGAATACATACAATTTTGCTTGTTAATTCTACTTCCAATACGAACACTTTCCACGTAGCAAAGCTAGGAATCATTACCGAATCTGCCCCCACGGATTAGTAATAATCCAACAAGAGTTGCAAAAATGTAAAGCCGCACCTGCAAGGCGCTGTACCTAATGACATAAAGTTGACTTATCTTTGCAATGGGGCAGAATCAAAGAGAGAGTAAGGAGGTTTCAAATAAACAGAAGCCTAGACGTACGTATACTCTGACAACCTGATAGTTTTCTTGACGTACATGGTGATCATAAGGATCCTTGTTATGGTATCTTGACAAAAACTTTTGGTACTAGATGGATAGGATTCACTATTAGTGTGGGCCAAGGCGAGTTAGTTCAGGCTTTGTGAGCAGGTGCCAGTATATAACAGTTCCATGAACTGGTAAAGTCGTCCCTTGTCCATACATCCATTGATACCACTCCTCCGACTTACCAAGGATCAGAGGGTTTTTAGACAAGCCCCTATTGTCACTAGTAATCATCAATTGACTACATATATTACTATTAACAGAATTGCCAAATTGGTCTATATGCCCACTCCACATTTTAACAACCGAAGAAGGCTTTCTCAAATCAATATTCATTTTGTGCTCTTTAATCGTAAATTCAAAGTGTAGCCCTGGCTACCTAGGTATTTATGCAGGTCGTTGCAATTCGATGACAAACTGAAGGGAGTTGGCTATAAATAAAGGGACTCTGCAAGTCCTCCCTCAGTATGGTAATGTATGCCTGGAGGTCCAAAGATTTTACTAATTAATTCTAGATCTTTTAGTCTCTTTGATCGAACAACCCCAAAAACCCCAGGAGGTACAAGTGACAATTTACAATGTGCTTTGTGTGATGGATAATGTATCATCATTAAGCACTTTGAGAAGTGTTACAGTACTGTATTACATGTACATACTAATCAGCAGTATATGATAAATTGTTTTAAGTTATAGCAGGTTGAATTTGCATCAGACAGGGAATCCTATGCTCGGATTCAGAATGCGTGGGATATCTTTGATAAATGCTACAGCGAATCAGAATCCCCTTTCTACGCTGCAGCGAATAAAGTATATTCAAGCGAACTGGAGAAAGAGCCGGCAAAAGGCTCCTAATTATATGGCATACAATCATATGAGCGGAATACTCAAGATCTTGATGATTTGATCCATTTGCTCAAGATTTGGGATTTTGAACCTCCATACGAAATCTGCACGAATACTTTAACATGGTGGTGTCAGGAGCAAAAACGTTGGCCAAGGTTGTCGCAATTTATGGCGATTGATATTCTATCGATTCCAGCGATGAGCGATGAACTAGGACGAGTTTACTCCAGCGCCCGTCGCACAATCTCATGGGAAAGGCCTCAACTATAAGCTGAGAACATCGAGAGGATAGAGTGCTTAAGAAACTGGTACAGACAGATTCGAAACCTCCTTCACTTTTTCTGTCCCACCTCTAAGACTGTTGCTTGAAGCTAGTCCCAACAAGGTTAGACTGGTATTTATGATACCATTCTATACACAATGTTTGCGCTGTCTCAAGAACTGATTGTTGATTTTTGAACGTTTTTATATTGTTGTATTGAGATGCTGTATCATAGTGAAAGATAAAATATTGACATAACTATTATTGCACTAGCTTTAATAATAGCCTTGTGAGTGAAGCAAGAGAGAGTGTGTTTCAAAACGTGAAGAGGCTTCGAATCTGTCTGTAAAAGAGTGAATTGGAGAGGGCTAATATTAGTTAAATGCTTATGTTTTATTACATTGATGTCCTTGCTGTAATTAATTGATGACAAGCCTAATCCAGCGAGGCAGAAGATAGGAAGGTCGGCCGTCACCTCAGGGCATGTATTTGGCCAACTACAATCGTACTCCCTCTCTTCGTCTAATACACCATGTTCCAAAGCTCAGTTTTTATAGACATTTTGGCGGGATGAATTGCGAGTAATCATGAAGGATAGATTTGGGGGCTATAAGATAGGGATCCTGATTGATCACCTCGTTTTACTGCTTTCGGGCATCCAGGTTATCTGACAGATCGTAGGGTTTACTCCAGGCCAATCCTGAATGGTAGTTTACAAGGATGGGAAAAGAAGAAGTGGCTAGCAAAATTGTACTGTATGTATTAAGTTCTCTGTGTTTGTCCAACACGTCAGGTTTCAAAGCTGGGTTTATATAGCATTTTTGGTGAACTGATTCGTACCGATCTCGGCACGGACATGAAATGTGATCTACTGTATCATGAGTAGTAAATCTTGGGGCTATAAATTAGAGCTTCTGACTGACTGCCTCTTCTGAATATCCAGATCATCTGAATAAATTTCGCGATATTCTAACTGTTAATGGGCCATAATGAGCTATTTTACGACTCTATTATTTCGAACAAAGACTCAATATAGAAGAAATGGAATATGTGTATCTAGAGCGAGGGAAACAGCACGAATTGGCAAAACAAGGTTGGGTAAGAATGGTGAGCATACAAAAGGTACCGTATTGACTCTATTATCTGAACTCCCGAAATCACACATGAAAGATTGAGAATGGAAGACTATTAGACCAGCAGTACTGCCCCTGCGCTGCTGCAAAAGGTCGTGAGGCTATTATTATTCACAACATGAACTGGAGCACGTGATGAAGAGAGGAGCTGAGAAAAAGAAAGGCACTGCCGCTGTTAATTTGGAAACGCAGGAATAGCTGGGTATTGCTCACAGCTAGCATCTCAATTGATATTGTTTGCAGTATTATAGAGCATCCGAGAGTTTCTTGAAGGATGATAGCTCAAGGCCAAAGTTTTGTGCTCGAAGGTTAGATCTGCGTTTACATTTTTCATGATTCCTGTCCAAAAGACGTTGATACTCGAGCGTGAAGATCGGCAAGAACTCAATATCCGGAAACTTCTTGAACTGTGGAGCGCGGCCATATACATCCTGTACTCCCTCTCTAGCAAGCCCCTCGGCGACTTTGTTTTCGCCCTGAATATAGCGCTCAATTTCGTCGACGAGTTTTCGTACAGAATTAAAGGATACGTCTTGGTCAAGATAGTAATAAACAAAATGCGGCATGCCCGGACTGACTGGATTGGAAATTGATGTGCTCTGCATCGCATTATCACTTCGGCGGGAGCATTTCTGGCGATCCTGTTCGCGCTTACGAAGTACAATATTCCAACACTCAATCTTCCCCCATTGCTCAAAATTGTCTAGTGCCAATCGCACAAGGTCAATTTGCTTTTGAGGCCACTGGCTGCGACAGTTATATTTGCTGCGCTGGTAGTGTTTGCGACAGTACCAGGTCCACAATTCACCGGGGATACATCGGGTAACTTTCTTGTTCCTCCCAAAGATATGGGACACGACTTTGCGAGTGTCTACTGGTTCAGTATTGGGAGTTTTGAGACAGGGTCCTGAGTCACTTTTCTCTAGATCCTCATATTGACACGTATATATGGTTCTGTGTCCGTTATTTCCATTCGAAATAACTTTGGCTCGAGCACTTCCTTCTATGGTACCCGGTGCAGGGGACGAGGCATGTGTTCTCTCATTATTGATATTTGGCACAACTTCATATGCGTTTTCGCTCTCATTCTCTAGATTCGCTGCTTCCATAGCAAACGGGAAGTCGTTACTGTGTTCAGAGTAATATTTAGTTGAAGGAAAAATTGATAGGGGTTGATGATATGGGACCCCGGTGTATTGAGGCTTATAAGTCAGATCATAAGCTGGATTCCGAGAATGCGGAGAGTACGGGGAGCACGTAGAATTGGACGCCAACTTGGCAATTGCCATGAGTTCATGTTGACTAGGATTTGTACTCATAATGACCTTGTGCACTAAGGGATCGAACGCTAACAGGCTGCTCTTTTTTCGTGATGGATTCGAAATCTGAAGATATTAGAGTAGCATCAGATACACACACACAATATATTAACGCCCGGCGGCCAAGCCGAAAGGACAACTATCACTAATCTACTAATACATGTCCTAATATATATGTCGTATCTCCTTGGAGCCCATACATAATCACTTTTAATATATGCCGTCTCATCTGTCAGTATCGTAGCGGATGCTCGTGGGTTAGTAATTTTGTTAGTAGCTGGCTTGAAGGCGCTTCTTCAAGTGTTCAACATCCTATCTTCGGCAGTTGAAGCGCGTCTACCGTGTCTGTCACGAGGTGGTTGATGTGAGTGAGATTGGGAAGGGTGATTGGTTTGTGTTCGTCTACATAGTTAAGTGGTGTTAAGTCGGCCTATAGCGATTGCAAACCATATTGTGGCCTGTACTACTTTAAAGTTTAGGATCCAGTTCTAATTATCTGAAGGTGATTTTCCTCCCAGAAAGAAGGATATGTTGCCTTAGTAGATGTTAGTACATTACAGCATTTCTGTCTAGTATGCTGTCCACTTTTGACATTGAAAGAGGAAGTGCTCGACAGTTTCTCTTACTTGTCCACATGCACACTGATCAGTCTGCACTACGTTAATTTAATAAAGATATCTATTTAATCTTGCCATGCCAGTCTGGAGTTGAGCCAGCACACTTGCTTCTTTCTATGATAATCGATTATACAGCTGTCGGATATGTTTGCCCAGGAGCGCCGCGTCTACTCTTTTAATATGTTTGCCCAGGTAAGCCTTTGCTGATAACGTTTTGGGATCGTGCAATATTGAGAGTCATTGATTTCATTTGGGGAACCTGTGCTTGTGGGATAGTGTCCTCTCCGGTTGCTATCCTGGCCTGCTCTTTAGCCAGGCTTAATAGCTTGTCATCCTCACTGGTTGGGACCCAGCGGATAGTGATCTGGTTTCCATTTCTTCGTAGCCTTTTAATTAACTTGTATATTTGGCAGACGTGTTCCTGACCTGACTGTTGTCGAGGGTTCCTCAATGTAAGGTGCAGCGGCTTTATTGCTCGTCAGGAGCGTGATTCTGTACTGCTTTAATGTTGGTAGCGTGCTCAATGTGTGTACCATTGCTGCTAGCTCCCCCGAGTATGGGTTCTGCTCTAGTCTTACGCCTAGTGTGAAGGAGAAGGTCTTTAGTTTCAGCTTTTTATACTAGGGTGGTTTCCTCTGGATCGCTCCACCAAATCCTATTACCTCGTTCCGTGCCGAGCTGCTTACCGCGATCTGCATTGATCTGCCCGCTATAGTGTGCGTTTCTGGGGTTTCACTAATATTGATCTGTACGCGCTCCTCCTATGGTGCTAGTATAAATAGGTTAATGGTTTCCAGCGTGTCCATTTCAATATTCTTCAGCGCATCTGCCACCTAATATAGCGGTGAGCGGTGAAATCTTCTAAATTTCCTGATCTGATTAGTACATCTGCGAAGGGGGTTGGTTTCTGGCAGGGTGTGGATGTCCGTCTATATCTTCATGGCCCGTCTCCAAAACTGGCTTTGTGTAGGGGCGATGTGAGCCTCCGCCTCGGCCACACTGGTTGCGACGGTGAGGAATGTTCCCACAATCGCTTACACTCCTACCTTTTGTCGGATTGGTCGGTTTATTCCAGGCCAATCCTGAAGAGTGTTTTACTAGGATCAAAGAAAAGAAGTGACTAGCAAGATTGTATGTATTGAGTTCTGTGTCTGTCTTTCAAGTTTTTAAAGCCGGGTCCTTTATAGACACCTTTTGGCGGGGTGATTTGTGAGCTATCAGGAGGGGTAAATATTGGGCTGAAATCTAGGTGCCCAGATATATGCCTAAAGGTGCCTTTTAGACCTGTAAGATTGAACAGTCGATCTTTCTGCCTCGTTTGAAAGCCGGATTATCTGACACCTTTTGGATGCGGTTGATTGGGCCAATGGCCTTATCCTTGAACGCGTGCATCCAGACATTAGAGGCATAGTCCACGGCTGTGGTAACAGTTGATGTGAATAGTTGTCGCGCTGTTGACGGGGATAAACCCCTGAGCCGTCTGAGCTCCATTGCTGCTTCTAGGCCCTTGGATGCGGCCCTTGCGATGTGTTCCTTATATTTAAGTCTAGTGTCTATTATTACACTAAGAATCTTGACATGGTCTTTAGGTTTGACGGCTTGTCCCTTGATGGTGAAAGGCTCCTGTTCCGACTTGTGTGCTTTGGGGGTGAAGTGTATAATAGCTGTTTTATTAGCTTCAAAGGTCGCTCTGCTCCTCCTTTCCCAGTCGAGCGCGTCAGTGATGATCACTTCAATCCCTTCCCGGTTACTCCGCGCAGTAGGCCCGGTCACCCATGCGGTAAAGTCATCCATGAAAGCAATCGCTCCGCCCTGGCTGTCGATCTGTCATTGTACGAGGTCTGCGTTGAAGAAGAGAAATAAGATTGGGGATAGAGGAGAGCCTTAAGGTAGTCCCGCCTATGGGAGGCTGTGAACTTCGGACTCCTGGCCATTAATCTGGATGGTCGCCGTTCGTGCCGAACAGAACGCGTCGATCCACCGGAGCAGCTGTTCTGGTATGCCTCGCGCTTTCATCCTCTGGAGTAGTCTTTCTTTGTAGACCCCATTGTAGGCTCCTTTGACATTGAAGCTAATCAAGCTAATAACTCGACGGCCACACCAGGCTGTGTAGATTTGGTCCTGCAGGAGCAGGAGTGCCTGTTCCGCTGATCGCTGTTTTCGAGCCCCAAAGTGGCTTGTGGGGAGCAGGCCGTATGTCTCCACTGCGTGGGAGATCCTTTCTGCAACCACGGATTCGAGTGCCTTGCCAAGTGTCGCTAGAAGTGAGATCGGTCTCTAGGCTTTTACAATCGTGTAGTCCTTCTTATTCGGCTTTTTGAGTGGTATGATCTTTGCATGTCTCCACTGACTTGGTAATGTGCCCTCTTCCAGGGACGTGGAGAATAGATTAAGGACCCTATGTTTGACCGCGGGCCAAGTCATCTTCCAAACTATTACCAGCAGGCCATCTTCTCCTGGTGCCTTTCATGATTTCACTGCGAATAGCTGTCACTCTACTTCCTCTAGGGTGATAGCAGGCATCTCTATTGGTGCTCTCTGTGGTCTAGATCCTTCATCATCAATATCATCTGGCAGCGGGGGAAAGAATTTAGCTAATAATTCTTCTGCTTGTTCCTTATGGTTGGTAGTGGTGGTTCCATCTATTCTCTTGAGCTGTGGTACCTTCCTAAACGCTATATCCTCTCTGGACTTCAGGTACTTGGCGGCCTTCTATATATTATTATTGTCTGCAAGGAATTCCTTCTAGTGCTTTTTCTTTTGTTGTTGGATAGCATCGTGATATTGCTTGGACGCACTTTTGGCCATCTCTTCCAGGTGTGTAACATCCCGTCCTGCCTGTCGCTCCAAGCGGGTGTGATTCCTCCAGTATGTGTATATATAATGGAGCTGTGTCAAGTCTGATGTCCACCATCGCTTTGCGTATAGCGATGGCTTGGCCTTAGGAGTCAAGGTGTGAACCGCTTCCAAGACCACTGACATTAGTCTGTCGGTTCTCTGTTGCAATGTGCCTTCCGCTGGAGTGCTATCTAGGTTTTGTGCGATTCTGGCGTTGATTTCCTTCCATGGTGCGTTTTTCAGTAGAAGTCGCTCCCGATGGTTTGTATCTGGTCTCGGGACATCAAACACAGTTTTAATTGCGCGGTGATCCGAGCCGTGCTCTGTCCCGTGTATTGCACACTTGACCATAGAATCTATCAGATTCTCGGAGGCGAGGACAAGGTCAATGGTGGACTCGTAGTCTCCGCCCTGTCCTCCACCCTGCTATGTCTTTGTGCCTCATTTCAGTAGACTGGTGAGAGCGAATTTATTCATAAAATTAATGATTGGATCCGCTTCCCCCTCCCTATCTAAAGACACGTCATCTCCTCCCCACAGTTGATCATGTCAATTAAAGTCTCCCACAATCATTATCTTTACCACCGTGCCTGTGTTTTGCCTTACCTTTGTGATTGCCTTGCGTAGGTGGTTGCACGTGTCGCGCAAAGCCTGGGCATCTCCATGCTCTACGTAGACTAATGCCATAAAAATTAAACGCTCGGGAAGCCGAATGACAGCTGCTGTCAGATCCGGAGATTCTATCAGCACTTGTTCCGCCTCTACATCCTTATTAACCCAGAGCATGCTTCAAATTGCCCACCGGCCTTCTCTCCATGTGGAAGGTACCATCTTCGTCCATTTGTAGTGTCCTATTGGGGTAGTTAAGAGTCGGCCTTGAACCATCCTCGCTTGGGGTTCTTGAATCGCTAATACCACTGCATCCTGAATTTCTTTGTCGTTCATCAAACTATTATGTACTGCGCCCTGTTTCCTTACATTCAGCTGGATTATTTAGAGTATTCTATTCATGTTGTACAGGATAGAGCTTCCGACAGTTTTTGCTATACAATTTATATGGGCCTCCGCATGGAACACACTTCAGGACAGTTTCATTGTAATTACTGTAGTGGTGGCCTTCCTTAGCACATTTCACACACCTCTAGGCGTTCTTGCATTGGAATGCCTTATGGCCAATCTCTTGGCAATTGTAGTATTATGCTGGTCGTAATCAATATTCAAAGACGCTAGTTACGCTGGATTCTCTCCCAGCGTGGAAGAACCCGTCAGCCAGAAGCCTCCGTGCATCAGTGCCTTTGGTTAGGTATACTACCATAGAGCTATAGGCCTTCGCACTCTCCTTACTGCTGAGCCATGCGATCTTAGCAACTGTGGTGTCATTCTCCTCGCTGAAGGCTGCTGTGGCTCCAGCTCTAATCTCATCTAGGACTGCTGCCTTCCTGACACTGTCGACTTTGATTGGGTAAAGCTTGTCACGCAGCACTCGGGCTCCTGCGCTAATCTTTGCTTCTGCAACTTTTTTAACTAGTTGATGTTCAGCTTCATCTCGGCAAGCAATTCTAATCTGGTAGGCATTCTTTGGATCCATGATCACAGCGCGGCATCTCCAGTTCATATGGTTTTCCATTGTCCGGATCTCTTTCTCAACTACTGCCCTAATTGAGCCAGCGGACGTTCTATCGCTTTTGTTATCTACTATCTTTGAGGTGTCTATCGTGCAATATAAAGTATCGGTAAAGGTTATTGGTGTTCTGTTAAATGGTGAGAAAGTCCGTATATTGCTCGGTTGACTGGTCGCAGGCGTGTGGGCCACATCCGCATAGGATAAATGGTTTGCAGAATCCAGGGTGGTAATTGAAGTGCGTAGGGATTGGATTTCATGGAGGATATCATCATAGCTGTTTTGTGAGCATGACTCGGAGCGGGATAGCAGTGTCAGAGTTTGCATCTCCTGTCGAACCTCTGCAAGGGCGGCACTAAATTCTTCTTTAACTTTCTTTAGCTCTTCCTTATGCATCTCATCTTGTCGTCTAATCTCTTTTCTGAGTTTGATAAGCTCTTTTACGAGTTTGGCTGTGTCCAGGTCCTCGCTTAGGTCCTCGCTCTCAGTTGCGGATTCATCTCCGGTTGGTGCGTCACATTGAGTTGCTGGCCTCTTCTGAGTTTTCCTCTTTTGTTGGGAGTGTGTCTTCCTCTGCTCGGTTTCTTTCTCTTGCTCTTGCTCTTGTGCATAGTCCTTAGGTGGTTTAGTGGTGCGCTTCGGTCTCAATCGCGGTGGTGAGTTTTCGTGTTCGTCCCGGTCGGGCGGTTCAGGAGTTCGCGTCGCGGCCCGTCCCACTGGGACGCCGTCTGAGGGCATTCTCGCCCAATTGATAACCACGAACTTTTCGTACAAATATACCGTTGATCTAATCAATGTACACACCGCCGAAAACCTCTAGCATCAGATACAGTGTTTCCAGAAACTGGTGTCACCGCTTTTACTCTTTGATTGATGCTGTAACCCTAACACTAACCAGGCGCTAAGCCACTTATAGATGTTAATTCGGAATAGCAATATTCCGAATTGTATCGTAAATTACGTGAAGGTATCATAACGTGATCTTGTAATATTTTACCTGACTAAGATCCACATGTCATCCTCTGAAAACTCCGCCCGCCTGGAGATAAACACCGGTCCTGATTAAAGACCACACGGCACCGGTCGATCTTAAGCCTGACGATTCGTGGCGTATGGATCTTGTGGAGTCGCTCCATTCTGCCTGTCACGGCTGCAGATCCGAGCAAACGTGAAAGTAATGTACAGAATAAGAGCCTGAAATCATGCAAAGAGAAGAAAGGGGCCAACGCTGATAACGATGTCTGGGGAGGAAAGTGTCGATTTCCTGCTCCGATCCCTTCTAGTTTTTACTGTGGCTGTGCATCATGAACACAATTGGCTAGCCTTGCAGACCCTGATAACCCTGCATCCACACCACGGTCTCTCAAGCAATACATCTCCGAAGCTGACTGCTCCAGAACGATGCTTCTCCCATCTCTTTTTGTAACTCTGACCCATTTATGAATATTTAATCACTGTTATTTACAATGGACCTTCCACCAAACGCCAATCGCCCCCCCAAACGACTCAAGAGAAGCACGACCGAACCTCTAGCAGGGTTTGCTCATGGTGATTATACTGTGGGCTGGATATGTGCTCTACCAGAGACCGAGTTGGTGGCTGCCATGGCCATGTTGGATGAAAGGCATCCAAGTCTTCCTGCAACCAATCCACACGACGCGAATTCGTACGTCCTTGGCCAGATCGGTGATCACAATGTAGTGATTGCTTGCTTGCCAGCAGCAATAACAGGGAAGGTATCTGCTGCTACTATTGCCAAGGATATGATCCACAGCTTTCCAGCTGTTAGGTTTGGCTTAATGGTTGGGATTGGCGGCGGGGCACCTTATTATGGTGCAAAGAGAAATAATGATTATGCAGGTGGTGAAGAGGAAGAGGAGGATTCTAAAGATTCCAAAAACAATCCAGAGGATATACATAACATACGACTCAGCAATGTAGTTATTAGCCTACACTTAAAATCATTAGATGCGGTTGTGCAGTATGATTTTGGGAAGTCATTGCAGGAAAAGGAATCCATCCGCAGTGGCAGCAAGTTAAATAAACCCCCAAACATTATTCTAAGCACTGTCGCTCAGCTTCAAGCATAGCACAAATTGGATGGACACAACAAAATCTCTGAGATACTATCAGAAACAGTATCAGAGTATCTAGTCCACGCTATAAACTTCCAATATCCAGGCTCCAAGAAGGACCATCTCTTTAAGTCGACCATTGTTTATGATGAGGGAAAGAAGTCGTGCAAGAGTTGTTGCGGACCCCAGAACTGTAACCTTGTACAAAGGAAAGATCGACCTAACAACTCTCCTCAATTACATTATGGGACTATTGGATCCGCGGATCAAGTGATGAAGGACGCTATTTTAAGAGATAAATGGGCACGGGAAGAGGGCATTATATGTTTTGAAATGGAGGCCGCTGGTTAGTATCACACCTCACCTATAAATTAGAAAATCTAGTAACTTATTTTCACTTAGGACTCATGGACTCATTCCCCTGTCTGGTCATCCGAGGGATCAGCCATACACCGCGGCCACAGCAGCATCATATGCAAAAGAATTTCTTCTGGCTATTTCCGGGCTCGGAGTCAAGAGAATGGATCCAATTAAGCAAAGTATGTAAGGGTTAGCTATGTTCCTTGTTTCGCTCTATCGGTTTAGTATACTCTTATGGAATCTCTTATTAACAAATATCCAAGTTGAGAAATCTATAAGAGAAATACATGATGTTGTCTAGGAGACAGGCGTTGTGGTCTAGAACCTCAGTAACAACAGCAGACATGAAAAGGTCTTTAGAAAATTACCATATGCAAAAGGTTCTAGTTTTGATGTATCAGACGCAGAACATGGGGCCAGATGCTATCCAAAAACCAGGATTGGCCTACTTCACCAGATCCAAGAGTGGGCAGAGGATCCACGATAGAAATGTATATTCTGGCTGAACGGGATGGCTGGTACTGGGAAATCAACCATTTCTCAAACAGTAGCCCAGTACTTCAAGGGAAAAGGCCAACTTGGGGCCAGCTTCTTCTTCAAACGCGGAGAGTGTGACCGTGGTACAGTAGTTTGCACCATCAGAGTACAGCGCCTTGCAGGTGCGGCTTTACATTTTTGCAACTCTTCGACTCTTCCTTAACGCCACTTCCGCACCCTAATCTATACTAGGTTTAGACTGAGATTTGGTGTAATTCGCAATACGTATAGGACATAACAGTACAGTGATACCGGGAGCTATCCTGACCCCCAATATGGGTATATACATGTGCAATACTACTTGTAAATTACCAAATTAATAGTCTAAGCCTATTATGGATTAGACAGTGGCAGTGGCGCCGAGAAAGAGTCGAAGTGTTGCAAAACATGTAAAGC